AATACAAAAAATTTAGCCAGGCATGATGGCATGTGTCTGTAATCCCAGCAACTCAGGAGGCTGAGGTGGAAGGATCGCTTGAACCCAGGAAGTGAAGGTTGCAGTGAACCGACATTGTGCCACTGCACTCCAGCCTGGGTGACAGAGCAAAACTTCATCTCAATCAATCAATCAATCAATAAAAGTAGCATGAGAGTAGGAGCAGAAAGAGGCAAGAAATATTTAGGCTCAGGAACCAAAATGAGCCCAGGCTAAACCACATTTTACAAAAGTTCCTCCCCAGCTCCAAAAGCCTGGGAGCCACAGTGAACACATTTGCAGCCACTTCCCAGCATGAGCAGAGATACCACATGAGACGAAATCAAAACTAAACCTACCTTTTTTGGGGGGGTGGGGCTTGAGGGAGCTAGTTTTATTTTAGGGGCTAAAAGCAGGGAAAGGATGCATGGATTTCCCAGTTAGGCAGTATCTGTGCAGAATGTTTTAAGGAAGCAATGGAGTTTAATAGATGTTAGGAACAATGGGCTTTAATTTTGGCATAACTTTTTAAGGAAACACTGCTATCTTTTTTATCTTAATGTGTACAACTTATGCAGTAAATTACAATGGTGTAGGCCAACAAATTTTGTATACATATATATGTATTTGTGTAAAATATATATTATATATGTATAATATATTTCTGTTTTTGTCTTATTACCTAATACATACAAAGAAGCTAGATAAAAAAGCATCACTTCTAGAAAATAAAGGATAGTAAACCAGAAGGATGATACAGGAGTGCTCATGCTTCCTTAGTTGTCTGTTCTTGAGTCACTTACATGGTTTTTCCAGACAAATATCTGAGGGAACTACCCCTGCTTTGATAAGGGTTGAGTCAAAAGTAGATGAAGGAACTGCTATAAATAGAGAAAAGGAAACTCAAGCTGGTGGTAGGCTTAGGAAATGTGGAAATGAGATCATATTCAGAGAACAAATTTACTTTTAGTTTTGAAATAACCCCTTCTCTGAATTGATAAGTTCTGTGTAGTCCAGCCTGTGGAAAATACTCAGAATGATGAAGGGGCTGCTGGTGGCTGTGGGAAATGGACTTGGTTGGTTTCTGCTGGAGGTGGGGTTTTGCTGCTCCTCGTGAGAAGAGGGGCTGCTAAGGGAAGGAGTCAGCTCTGCAGGTCAGGCCCAGGTGTTCTCTGTGTTCAATGCCATGTGCTTCACAGCAGTCTGAGTGTGCACATGACATCCTCAGTGTTGCTTTTGATTTCCATGCTTCTGAGAAGCAGTTAGTCTCACATGGATCTCAGCTCAGTGGTCCCTGGGTTTGGTGGAAACCCCCCAGCCATGCTTAATCCCATCCTCTGCATGTGGTGACCCTGGCTCATGGACTTGTCTCTTTTTCCATTCCCTTTCACAGAAGGCTGATGGTTAAAGTCCCAGCCACCATTCTATTCAGGAATATACTTCCAAAATTCAACTGTGGGAAAAACATGACCTGAAGTTTCCCTAGAACTCATCTTTGCAGTGTTTTAAATGGAATCCTGGAATATTTGTGGTCTTTTGCTCCTGTGAAGAGTTTGTTTCCTGCTTTGCTTTATAGACACCATTTCCTCCCTGGAACATTAGAAAAAAAACCACTGCACACAGCATTCTGGGAGCTACAGAAGGATTAAGAATGACCTTTAGCTGAGGAACAAGACAGCACAACCACAGGAGACTCTGGTCTACTTTCTTTTCACATGTACATTGTTGCAGCTCTGTGGAAAGCACTGGCCAAGTTCGAAGCCAGCCTCAAGCAAACCCTAAGTGTTCCAGAGAAAGAGCCTTCAGTCAGCACAAAACTTGCCTAAAGACTCACCCAGATAAAAACCCAGTTCAAATCTGCTAAAGGTGTCTCCTACTCGAAGGGTAGAGGGCAGCGATTTCTAAGTGAGGGAACATAAGATGAGGTATACATTATGAGAATACCGTTTCCTTACCTGTTATTAGTTGACAGTTTGAAGACCACTTTCACAACGGTTGTCTCATTTGTTTTTTGTTTCTTTTGGTGGGGGCAGGAAAGTACAGTGTACATCATTTAGACATAAGGTTAACAGAATAAGAGCAATGATATGCAGCTAAAAGTTATACAATCAATTACATAACAGATAACAAGAGGTAATAATTTTTTTTTTCTTTTTTAACACAGAGCCTCATGCTAGCACTTAGGCTGGAGTGCATTGGTACGATCTCAGGTCACCACACTCTGCCTCCCTGGTTCAAGTGACTCTCATGTCTCAGCCTCTCAACCAGTTGGCATTACAGGTATGAGAGCCAACACACCTGGTTGAATTTTGTATTTTTAGTACAGATGGAGTTTTGCCGCATCACCCAGGCTGGTCGTGAACTCCTGGCCTCAAGTGATCTGTTCACCTTGGCCTCCCAAAGTGCTGGAATTATAAGTGTGAGCCACTGCTCCCAGCCAGAACATTTGTTTTTTAAAAAGTCTTTGTATATGTTAGATGGTTAACAACAGATGATGACAATTGAGGAATGAAGCATATTACACAAGTAGACTTCATTTGGAAAGAAAATAAACATTTACAGAGCAACTATGAACCAGGCATTGTGCAGGAATCTTGACAGGCATTATTCCACTTGATCCTTACAACAGGTTAGTAGTATTAGCTAATTTTCCAAAGAAAAAGAAAAAAAACTCTGAAGTTCAAAGAAGAGTGGCTATACTGAGGCACACAGAAATTGTACAGTCTGAGGGGTGAGCATGTATCTTGCCATTACACCACCCTACCTCATTACTTAGGATAAATGTTGCTCGTGATTTCTTCTTTTTCCTTTTAATTTTGCCATCCCTTCATCTGAATGTGATTAGACTTGTCTCAGTCTATAGAGCACCTTTCATCATCATCACTGTCATAATAATGGTGATCATTCATTGACCTCATTAAATGCATCTTATTGTAGTTATTTATAGATTTCTCATCTTACCCATGTTAGTTACACCATATTCTCCTTGAAAGTAGATCTCAAGTCTTATATATTAAGCAGCATCTTACATACTGTTCTACATCTATTATCTCCCCAACAAGTGTTTTTGAATGAACTAAGTGAAGCAAAATGGCATGCCTGCAGTCCTAGCTACTTGGGAGGCTGAAGTGGGAGGATCCCCTGAGCCTAGGAGTTTGAGGCTGCAGGGAGCTATGATCATGCCACTACTTCCCAGCCTGGGCGACAGAGCAAGACCCTGTCTCTAAACAAAAAAGAAAGAAAAGAAAAAACCAAAGCAGAAATGACACTTTACACCACATTGAGAAAAAGACAAAGGACACATTCTTGTTACTGGATCATCATAACAGTCACGGTCAGTGAATCAGGATGATAATCTGGTGAAATTGACTTGCTTATGAGTGTCCTTTAGATTCTATTCCCATCCTGGCAGCACTTCTTGGGTAGTTTCCAGGACCTGCTGTCCACAGGCTCCAGCCTTACCCTCTTGCCTTGTCCTGTTCATCCTGCCGCATCCTGTCATACTCCAGACCAGATGGTCCTCCAATGTTACTGCTTGGTTTCCGGTTTCCATCTTTACCTTATCATTTGGATTTGATGCCTGGCAGAGTTTCGGTTTCTCCTCTTCTGTTGATTGTCTCAGGACAAATGTGGAATGCCCTTCTGGGAACACTGATGTCCCGTGCAAGTGAAAAGACACAGGCTGGAGGAAACATTTCTTTTCTTTCTTCTCTCTCTCTTTTCTTTGTGAGCAGAGTCTTGCTCTGTTGCCCAGGCTGGAGTGCAGTTGTGTGAGCTCGGCTTACTGCAACCTCTACCTCCCAGGTCCAAGTGATTCTGCGATTCTCCTGCCTCAGTCTCCTGAGTAGCTGGGATTACAGGCGCACACCCAGCTAATTTTTATATTTTTAGTAGAGATAAGGTTTTGCCATGTTTGCCAGGTTGCTCTCAAACTCCTGACTTCAAGTGATCCACCCACCTTGGCCCCCTAAATTGCTGGGATTATAGGCATGAGCCACTGTGCCCAGCCAGTTCCCATGCCTGGCCAATTTCTGAAAAGAGGAACTTATAATCTTAGGTCACTTGTCAATGTCCACACCAGTACTTAGTGATCAAAATTTACTATTTGTGGATTAAATTCTAACTGGCACCAGTGATTACTCAAAAGTCAGAGACCAACACTTTTCAGCCTAGGATGGTGAAGAACATGGACTCTGAAGCCGGACTGCCTGGGTTCAAAGTCCAGCTCTGTGACACAGCCATTAATAGGTGTGTAGCTCTGAAAAAGTACTCAACCTTTCTGTGCCCCATCCATACAGTGGGGATAACATGTGTAGGTTATCATGAAGAGTAGCTGACTTTTCAAAGTGCTTGCAGCAGTGCCAGATGTACAGCGCGAGAACTATATATTTGTTAAATATTTGCTTTCTCTGTATTCTTCTCCTGGGAATGTTTGGCGCTCACTTTCACAGACTGTTAGCCCCTTGAGGGCAGAGACTGTGTTATCCTCAGTACCTCGAATGTTGTTACAATAAGGGAAATGTGCCATAACTATTGTACCATTGGTTTTAATGAATGAATGAGGATTCTGGAGGCAAACTATCACAATCCTAAGAGTTTATTACTTAGTAGTCCTGCCTTCTCTCACATTTTTTTCTTTCCTTTATGTTTTTACATCAGATGCTTCTGCCTGGGACGGGCTGGCAGAGGCAAAACCTTGACTGGCAGCATCATGGACTCTGTATCTCAAGCAGCTGGAGATCAGCTAACTTAACTCTCAACAGCTGTTAGACAGAAAGCTTCTCAGAAATAAGAATCCCAATTCTGGTTTTTACAAAAACTCATAAGTTTAGGGTTGTGGTCCTATCCTAAAGTAAGTATTGCTAAAGGGAAGCTGTGAAGAGAAATGTTATTTAGCATCAGAATCTGCATTTCTGAAATTAGGTTGTAAAAGATGGTGGCTTCCGTCTTAAGTGAGATCACTTGTGTTCTCTCTCTTTCAGCTCTCACTTTGGGAGAAGCCAGCTGTCATGTGTCAGGACACTCAGGCAGCCTGTGGAAAGTTGCACATGGAGAGGAACAGAGGGCTCCAGTCAACCAACCAATGCCAACAACCATGTGAGTCAGCTTGGAAGTGGATTCCCCAGCCCCTGTCAAGCCTTGAGACAACTGCCATCCCAGTCAATAGCTTGGTTACAACCTTGTGTGAGACCCCGAACGCAAACCACCCAACTAAGCTGCTCCTAGAAGTGGTTCATCCAGAAAGATGTACATTTCCCCTCAGCATAAACTCTAAGGAAACTTTATTACATAAATTTATAAAGGATGCTGAATAACAGAGTCATTGAGAGCAACTGTACAAACAAAAAACGGGATGTTCCTCATATCACCATTACTTACAGGGGCCTTAGCTCTGATAAGAGATGGCTTAAGAGGCTGGGAACTAGGCTGGGCTCAGTGGCTCAAGCCTGTGATCCTGGCACTTTGAAAGGCTGAAGCCGGCAGATCACTTGAGGTCAGGAGTTCAAGACCAGCCTGGCCAACACAGTGAAACTCCCATCTCTACTAAAGATACAAAAATTAGCTGGGCTTGGTGGCAGGCATCTGTAGTCCCAGCTACTCGGGAGGCTGAGGGAGGAGACTGGCTTGAACCCGGGAGGTGGAGGTTGCAGTGTGTTGAGATACTGTGCCATACTGCATTCTAGCCTGGGTGACAGAGAGACTGTGTCTCAAAAAAAAAAAAAGGCAGGGAACTAGAGAACAGGTACATGGCATTCTGGGGACCTGACTTGCTGTAGCAATAGCTTTTAGCCTAAAACCTTAGTAGCACTTCCAAAATCTGTGTTCCTTGGAAAATTGATTCTAAGAGACTCTGATAAAATGGGCACACTGTGGTCTCTATGCCCTTTTGGAGAATATTTCAGCATATGAAAGGTGTAAAAAGTCCTTCATAAAAATAAGCGATAACTGTTAAATCTAGCATTTTCAGATGCTACAAAGGCTACAGAAATCTTTTTGGGTAATGCCTGTACTCCCCGGCATTTATGTGGGAGATGCCAGAATCTTACCTAGGAAGCTAATCCTTACTTTTCACCATTCATTTGAATCACCTGGTGAATTTTACAGACACCCTATTCCTAGGATTCACCCCAACAGATTCTGGTTCACTTGGTCTGGGTGGGGGCCTGGGCAGTGCTGTGGTTTAAAAACTCCCTAGGTGATTCTTATGAACTAAGACAGCAGAGAACACAAACAGCCTCAAGTAAGAATCACCTAGCGCACTCGTTAAAGCACTGATTGCTGGGTTCTACCCCATGAGTTTTCCATTAAGCAGGGTTGGGGCAGAGCCTGAGAATTTGTATTTCCAACAGGTTCCCAGGTGCTGCTGTTGCTGCTGAGGGTCAGAGGACACAGAGACTCTGAGAACTGGTGCTCTGAAGAACAACGGGTAAGCATGGCTGTCAGGCTATCCCTATCATCATCAGTTGTATGTATGGCTGATAGTTCGGAGTACAGAACAAGGCTGTAGAACGCAGATTTCCCTTTGTTCTCAGCTGAATGCAGACAGCAATTCCCGTAAGTTGCACCAACAACAGGTGAAAACTGAGTCTGTCCAAGACAAATTGCATCCCACCTCCAGGCAGAATACAGGATGGGTGTTTACAATAGTGAGTGGGGCCCTGACTTTTCAAAGTGCTTGCAGCAGTGCCAGATGTACAGCGCGAGAACTATATATTTGTTAAATATTTGCTTTCTCTGTATTCTTCTCCTGGGAGTGTTTGGCGCTCACTTTCACAGACTGTTAGCCCCTTGAGGGCAGAGACTGTTATCCTCAGTACCTCTGTTATCTGTCAGTTATCTGTGGAATGGCGTCAACTCAAGGGTGATGTTAGCAGAAAGGCAGGCATTTTCACAGCAGATTGTTTACCTGGTTGAAGAAGCCGGAGCAATGAGGAATGCCTGGCTCAGAGCACAGCAGGGCAATGGAAATGGTGCCTCCTGTAGAAAGGGGTTGACATGAATACTCTAAGGAGAAAAACTAAATTTCAAGGACGCAGAACATGAGTGGGCTGTGAGGAGACCTTGCTGGGTCCCCCCAGTCACCAGGCCAATCTTGGGGCCCAGCACCAATTCTGAGAGGATGAGCTCTTAAGGCAGACGGGAGGTGGGTATAATGAGGAGACAAGATCTGCTTTTGTGTTTTTGAGACTGTGCCTTGCTCGGTCGCCCAGGCTAGAGTACAGTGGCATGATCTTGTCTCACTGCAACCTCTGCCTCTGGGGATCAAGCGATTCTCCTGCCTCAGCTTCCTGAGTAGCTGGGATCACAGGTGCCCACCAACACGTCTAGCTAATTTTTGTATTTTTAGTACAAACAGGGTTTCACCAGGTTGGCCAGGCTGGTCTTGAACTCCTGACCTCTGGTGATCCACCTGCCTTGGCCTCCCAAAGTTCTGGGATCACAGGTCTGAGCCATCGGGCCCGGCCGAGACCTGCATTCTCATCTAATGCTGACACCGATGGACACTCTGGGCATGGACACTCTGGGCCTGTTTCTTCTTGGTGGTTTATCCCACCTCATGCTAAAAATAGCTTAAAAGAAGGAACCATTGAGAAGGTCTGGAAACATTTGTAAAAGGGATAAAGCATTTTACCTTGTCAAGAGGGCTTGTCAGAAAATACTTCCTGCACTTCCCTTCTCTTGTTCATTTTCATTCCTAAAAGGGCTCATTTTCAGTTTCTCTGACCCTCGGGCATCTTTCTCCAGGCCTCTTGTTTCAGTTTCCTGCTTGCCCACCAATAACCTCATTAGAGTCACACTGCACAGATGGTTCACCTGCTGCTGACAACAGAGAGAACCCAGGGACAATTTTAATAGTACAGATGTTATTTCTTTTCTCAGAGAAACTATCTCTGAGAGCCCCAGAGTGATAGGGCTATAACCCCAGAAACCTCCACAAGGGAGGGGCTCTCTGCACTCACTGTGCACCAGCCTCTGGCCTCCAGGAAGATGGAGGGCACTGGGAGGGCAGTCACGGTTCCTCCCCAGCTCAGACTTTCCCATGTGAAATCCCCGAGTCAGTCTGAGGTCCGCTGGCCACTAAAATCATATCTGTCTATTTGGAAACTTTCCTCAGAACTAATTAGCAACAAGAGAAGACCACAGATAAGAATCTCAAATACGAAAACACCACTGAGGAGACACTAACCTGACATGCGAGGCCTCAGGGGGAAATCATGTCTGGCCTTCATCTCCCCTGAAATGCATGCTAAAGGCAAACCAGCCACTGAAGGAACAAGTTCAGCAACAAGAACGCAAGACCCTGAATAGCTTTTGCTAATGAGAAGTGATTTGGATACACACATTCAGGGAGTGCTAGAGGCCATCTTACCTCAGGGCCTGTCTACCACTCTCTTTCTGGAGCTCTCCTCTCCTCAGCAAATAGCTTCTGCCATCTCTTGGGAAGCTGAACCCACTCCTTCACTGTGCCACGTCCCCTTATTATGAATTCTCACAGCCAACCTTTTATTTTGGAGCATTTGCCACAACTGGAATCAAGTTGTGTCATTTGCCTTTGTCTTGTTCAATGGTGTCTTCCCACCATCTAGCACAAAGCCTACGCAAATATTTGTGGAACAAATGCGCAGATGCTGTGACTGAGGAACTTGCAAATATATATAACAGGGTTTCACGGAGGACTTGCTGACAGCTTTGGTTGAAGTCACAAGACAAGCTGTGCCATCTACATCCACCACTTCCACACTAGTACGTCAGATTCTGAACCATATATTCCGGGACTCACAGAGGGGGGTAGTAAAAATAGCCAGCTTTTCTTCCCTTCTGGCTCGTCACTGGTGTAAAGGATGGAGGTAGAAAAGTCAGCTCGTGTTAGAAATCAGAGGGTTTCTATAGAGGGTGACAGTGAGCTTCCCTCTTGCCAAAGGTTAAAGAGAACAGCTTCATAAAAACCACTTAGAAAAACTAATCTGTGTCTCCTCAAGCTTGGGGGACACACAGGGCTGGCATGTGACTCATGCCTGAAAATAAAGGTCTAGCAGAATCGAGGATGCATTTGGAAGTCACCACACTCATGGATACCAAGCCAAAAGTGCTGATTGGTCTATGACTGGGGTGGAAGTGTGGGTGAGCGACCAGATGGGATACCTCTAGTTGGCATGTTAGTGTGATCATTTTAAAATGGGCAGTAAGCTACTAGTTTCTTGCCTGAAGTGACGGTGGTATGCTATTGGAGGCAGACGCTGAGGGGCACTGCAATAGCTGGCTATAGGAGAGGCCAGAGGAGTCCGAGGCACCCAGGGTGGGCTCTGACAGTGCCCAAAGGAAAACAAGGCCAAGAACTTGAAAAGTGTCATCCAATCAGCCCTCTCATGCTCCTTTTCTCTCCTCCCTACCTTCCGGTCCTTTCATTCTGGGAAATTCTTGGTGGTGGGAGGAGTGAGAAGAATGGCAAAAAGCACTTGGCTAAAGCAGTCCTAAGCTGGACAAGGGGAGAATATTCAATTCTAAGTGGATTTCAGAATTGTGGCTGTTACATGACTGGACTTGCAAGTTAACTGAAACGAGGCCCTTGCTAAAAGTGAATACAGGACTTACTTAAAAGTAGCTGTCTCTGAGGAATTCTGGGACCTGCCAGAAAGTTCATCTCTGAAGGCAAACAGCCCCCAAAAAGTAGGTTTGTAGTGACACACGACAATTGCTGTTGCTTTACGATTGCCCTATCTAGTCCCTCATGGTCAATGTGACAGTACTGATTTAATCTTCACAGGCATTATTCTACTTTACGAGGGATGAATCCCTAAATCTAGGGATTTAGGCAAATTGCTCTGGGTCACAGGTAGGTGAGTATCACAACTGCAACTCAGGCCCGGGGTGGAGGACTCCGTGTTCCATTCTTTCCTTCAATACCATAAAGCATTTTCTATCTGACTTCCACAAAGTACCAAAAGTACAGCTTTTAGGTCCCTATTTCTGACCTGGCCTTGTCACCATCTATATGTCAAATCATTTTTAACCAAAGACAAGGGGAAAATGGTAAGATGTGCACGTTAACAGAAGAGGGGAGCTGGGGTAGTTCACTCAGGCAAGAGGAGGGAATGACTAGAAGGGAGGAGCAGGTGGGGATGTGAGTTAAGGGAGGAGCAGATGATAATTGGCTATGACAGTCATAAAGATTTGTCAACAGGGGCAGAGAGAGTGGAGGGAAGGAGGAGGGTGGAGAAAAAGGTGGCTTTGCTGAAGGTCCCCAGTGTCTCCTTACAGATGTTCTCAGCTGCAAAGTTCTGAAGCTCAGGTGGCCATGAGACCCCTAGAGACCCTCTTGGCACTCCTTTGACAAGGCTGATTTAAATTAACTCTATCCTTGGGAGGAGAAGGAAAATCTTACAGGTGTAAGAAAAAAGTGATTTTCACGGCAGCCTTTTATCCTAAGCATCTTACCTATAATGAGCAATCCCTCTAGTAACTAGGTGGCAAGAAGCACTTAGGCTTCCAGACCAAAAGGCTCTTTTAAAAACTGTCCTCTATAAAGACAACTGGAAAAGAGAATAGAGAGAGTATTCAAAGTTAAGCTCAAGTTTAGAACAAATGCATCAGCACTGTGTCTAAGTTACTGGTAGCCACGATGCCAAGAGAAGCTAATGTGGTACTTGAAAAAATTCACAGAAAAAAATGTATTTCAAAGAGAAGTCGAATTTTTCACAGAGCAATCAATAGCAGAGCGTTTAAAATGTTCTGGGCTGTGTCCGTTTACCAGGGGAGCTCAATCACTCTTATGCAAATATCTAAATTAACCTAATAGGGTTGTTCAGTTCTAGCTGGCTGCTTTGCTACGAATATTGCTACAAAGATTTCCACCTCTGAATAAAAGATGGAAAGAAATAAAGTATCCAATAAAAATACATACAGAAAACATACAAGGTGCCAGACACCTCGCTACATATGTGTCAGCCCAGCAACCTCCAACGCAGGTACTGTCCTGTTCATGATGGGAAACTGAGGATCTGGGGCTTTATAAACATGCCCACGGCCTGTGGCTTGTGAATGGCACAGCAGGACTCTAAGTCAGGCTGACTGGCTCGACTCCCTGCTCTGAACCCCTGTGCTCGCTGCTTGTGCTGTGGCACAGCTTCCCTGGTACTTTACCACTCCTTGTCTTCATATCCTTTTCTGGTGGTTGCTGGGCTGTTCTCAGCACCACCTAGAAGTGTGTAAGCTCCTGGGGTCTTATCCGGCTCTCCTGTGTGCTGTCACTTAGACGTCTTCATTTCACCATCTACAACGTGAAGGTTTGGGACTCCTGTAAATGGAGAACTAGCCCAGCCCATCAACATCATTGCACTTTGCTAGCTCTCCAGTTACAGGCATCCCAAAGTACTTTGATTATCCTCAAAAGGTCTATCACTTGGAGGAATACACAAATGCTAGGCATAAAATAAATGTCAGTAAAAACACATGGCAAACGGACTTGCAAAGTCAAGTCAGTGTATTAGTCCATTTGTGTTGCTATAAAGTTATACCTAAGGCTGGGTAATTTATAAAGACGAGGCTCATTTTCTGCAGGCTGTACAATAAGCATGGTGCCAACACCTACTTCTGGGAAGGGCTTCAGGGAGTTTTTAGTTATGGTGGAAGGCAAAGGGGGAGCAGGTATGTCACATGGTGAGAGAGAGGAGACGCCAGATTAACAAGCAGATATGCCATGAACTTATTATGGGAGGGGCACTAAGCCATTCGTGTGGGATCTGTCTCCATAACCCAAACACCTCCCACCAGGCCCCACCTCCAACATTGGGAATCACATTTCAACATGAGAATTGGAGGGGACAAATATCGAAACTCTATCAGTTAGTTTGTCATGGGTGCCAGTCTGCCATCACTAACTGATTCTTAGTCATGACTTGGGAAGATAAAGTGGCAAGAACACAAACTTGAATGACAGAGCAGATTCTTGCAGTAATCCAAATCCCTGGGCCACATGAATTTTAAATATGACCAATAGAAATAGTCTGCCTCATTCATTCTTTTCATAAATTGTTATTGAGCAACTTTTATATGGCAGGCACTAGCCTAGAGGCTGGGGACACCCTGGTGAACAGAGCAGTTTCTTCTCTCACAGAGCTTAATAATGCAATTAGTATCCAGTTATAATTATGATAAATGCCACAAAGGAGAAGTATAGAATGAAAGACAGTATATACCCAGAGAAGCCTGGGTAGTGCAGGGGTGGGGATGGGGGTGGGGCCAGGGGTGGGTTAGGGAAGACTTCCAGAAGGAAGTGATGCCTAAATGGAGAGCTTAAGTATATGGAGGACTTAGCTAAGTGAGGAAGGGGTAGAGGGTGGTGGTGGTGGTACAGTCTACTTAGCACAGGAGGTCTTTGGGGTAGGAGGAGCAAGAAGTATTGCAGAGCCTGAAGGAGGTGTGTGTGACCGATGTGTGGAGAGTGGGAGGAAGAGGCAACCAGACTGGTAAGGTAGATCATGCTATCCATGTACTCCACAATGAGATTCTGTAAGCCTATTTTGAATGAATGAAGTCTGGAAGGGCATTCAGCATACTTCTAGAAGCCCCAGCTGCAGAACTGCAACGTGCTGGCCAATTATGTGGACTCATCTGTAGGAAGCACTCTTCTACATTCATAGTCCTAGACATGAAAGTTCTTACTGTCCATCTAAAATGTTCACATGGTACCAACCATCTAATTACAGTAAGAAAAACCAGTCGGGCTGGCCAGTTGAAGGAGGCAGGCAGGAGTTGAAATGACACATCTCCACTATTGCACCTGGCAGAATCATCTGATCCCTAACTTGAGAATTAAGCAATCATCTCAGAGCCTACTGCCACTACCACTGTCAGCTTCCTGTCCCAGTCTGAGAGAGAGAAAACCAGTAGAGCAGGTATGTGTACACCCAGTGTTCAAGAAAACAAACCCCAAACACCTCACCTTGAAACCTCTAGTTTCTGCCTTTGTCCCCCTTGCAATCGTCAAAATAAATTCATTCTCACATGGAAAATAATGTTTCAACAAACACTCCTTCTTGCATTTAGCAGATAATCTGTGGTTTAAAGAATGATTATTTTTTTACAGAACTCCCAAGTTTTTACAAACAACAGTGAAACCCCTTCCATGCCTCAGTAAGAAAGCATATTTTGATTGTACAGCTGAGGACAGGAGCCTGTTGAAGTTCCAGTGGGATAAGGGACTGGGAAGGGCACCTGACAGTCACAGTGTTGGGAACCTCACTGATCCTTGAGGCTTCTCGTAAACATGACCAGAGACACCACCCACATTACTCCCTCTGGGTTTTTAATAACAATGTTTGACTGAGGCTTTCTTCCCTTCCTCCTACATTATTCCTTCAGATTTTTAGCAACCGGAGGTTAAGGATTCAGCTGAGAGAATGCCCTTATGTCTTCTCAGACTGATAAGCTGGAGTCTGTTCCTGAGATAGCCTTTTGGTATGAAGAGAAAATGATATGATTACAAGACTGTACCCTCCCCTCCTACCTCCACTGCCCACTTTCAAATATCCCGTTGTTAACTGTACATTTTTGAAAGTAAAGTGAATATGGGAATCAACCTTTTCTCAAAGAGTGTGTTAGCCTCCCTTCAAATGTATTCTGTGATTTCTGACAAATCAACTTCCCCAAAATAATCCACTGAAAATCATTCTGATTCCTACATTCTAGCCTTTGGAACCAAAAGGGCTTATCTAGCCTGTGTGATATCACTGGAATTATCACTTTGAAAAGATTAGTCTTATCCTATATAAACATATGAGGGCTAGGATGGAGAAGTGGTTAGGAACACAGATGCTGTGGTCTGACTTCCCAAGCTCTGCCATGTACTAAGTGCGTGACAGGCAAGTTTCTTAACTTCTTTATGCCTTAGTTTACCCACCTGTAAAATGGAGATAAAAGGTGGTGAGAAATGGGATAATGTAGCAAAAATATGTAACAAAGAGGAAACCCTCAATAAATGGTAACTATGATTATTGTTCCCCTAGTAGAAATTGCCCCTGGAGGGCGTGTCCTATACTCAGAAACAGGCAGATCCCTGGAGCAGATTCTCTATTCCCACTTCCTAGGGCCCCAATAAGTAATATCTCTGTGAACACTCTGTCATGGGTTTTTTTCTTTTTTTAAGACACAGAGGCTTGAAATGAGACAAAGGAAAAACAAGTACCAGAATTGCAAAGTTAACATTTTTATTGAACTGAAATTGGTGTAGAACAGGGGCCATCACAGCTGCTGAGCTCAGTAACAACTGAAAAGCCCCTGTGACATTTTACCTTCGAGAGTCCTAACACGGTTTGAGTGGAACAGCTGAGAAACAGCATATAGATAATTTAACACCTCAAAATAGTTTGAAATGAGCCTCACAGCCTTGTTCAATCTTCATTCTACAAATAACATTGATAGCATCTTCTGTGGCCTTTAGTTAGTAGTGCCAGTTAATATCCTTTCCCAAAACATTCCTCTCAAGTGCTGGCTATAATTTTTTCCCCATTCAGTACACATAAGAAAAGGATTTAGTAACACTTGGGCAAGTAACAAACTGTAGAACTTTAAAAGTAGTAAAGGCATTTACCAAGCATATGTGACTCCACACATTGTCAGAAAGGCAGTGGACTGGCTAAAGAGTTTCTGCCAAGTTTCAGAAGCAAAGAATGCACTAATGAAAAGGGTAAGGCATCCAAGCAGAGTGTCTGAACTGATAGACCATTTTTGTCTAAAACTAATTTCAACATCTTCCAATACGCAAGCAGGCATTTGTTTTACATAATAAGGTTACATAGTATAAGGGAAAAGAAAACTCCTATAAAGCTTATAAGATCAATCAGAGAAAAAATTAATACTGAATTTTTATAATCAATGCATGGAGCAATGATATAAACTGACCATAACGATTTTGTGAGAACAAGTATAAAACATTCATTACGACTTAAAGAGTTGAAAGTTAACCCCTCTAAAGTATTCAAAGGGGAATAAGTAATCAACAAGGTAGGAAATGCAATGCCTATATTTTTCAAAAAACCCACATCTAGTTAATGTTCTCTTGGTTTGTTTTAAACCAATTGTTCATTCAATCTGGAGTTGATTTAAGGATGTTGGTAAAAATCTTCAAAAGTCCTTCAAATCATTTGAGATGAAATGTGATGGGAAAAACTATACAACTCATTCTCTAATCTTTAATCTTGATATTTTTTACACTAACTACCCTTCCAAAAAAGAAAAAAAAAAACAAGATAAATTCTTCCACCAGAGTAACTGACATTAAGTGGCCACTATTCCTGTAGCAATCATTTGTAAGAATCTAATAGTCTTGCAGTAGGGAATGAAAAGTATATTTTAATAGGCTCATACCCCATCTTCAAACGGGATAAAACTTGGATAATAGCAGATTCAGAGATTTACAACTTTCAAATTTACAACTAACAGACAGACACTTTTTTGCAAGGATCTGTCCAACACATGTAACTGACAACTAAATTAAGGCTTTTACTGGTATGTGATCAGGTCTAAGGGTATGCAATGCTGGATTTCCATTTACCGTGTCCAGCTTTCATTGTTACCCAACTTGTAAACCAGAAGATGTGCTGATGGGTAGGAGCTCCAATGGTTAGCCATTCACCAACTGGAAGGCTTGTTTGTAAACAGGTTCTAAAATAAGAGTTGGCAGTGAAACAAGTGAGGAGGTGCCTCAAATCATGCAAAGGGGAAAAGTGATTTGCACCTGCTGACATGATGGACATTAAAAAAAAAGAGAGAAGAAAAAAAGCCAATAGTTGACCTTCAGTTCAAGATTTCAAGATTTAGAGACCTAAAAGTTTAGAGCTACATCCAAGCCAATAGTTCTCATACTTTAGCTTGCAAAATGTCACCTATAGGAAACCAGTGGAAATTCAGATACTTGGGCCCTGTACCTAGAGACTCTAACTCAGGTGATGCAAGTGGTCCAAGCACCTTTTGCTTTTGAGAAACCTTGCTCATAGCAAATAGCAGCACACAGTCTTTGATTAAAAGGCCAAGATGTCCAAGAAATAACACCAATGACTTCATTACCTACAGACAAACCCTTCAGGAGACTCTATCATAATAATAGGATGCCTGAATTTATCCCCAATTAAGTTTCCCTTTCCTTTTTCAATTAAAAAGTTTGAAATAAATTAAAGTTTAATAATGATTGTACCAATTCTGAGGTAAAAAAAGAGCACCAGGGATCTCAATGCTAAAAGAAATAGAATTCCCTAGGAGGTCCATGCTACATAGAAACAAAATTTCTGCAGTATTGTTATAGAGTTGTAGTGCAAAAGGGTCTTGTTTCAGTCTTTGTATAGTCTGTATACATCTGTATACATTTAGTATATTATGTAATCTTTCCAGTTAATGTTTTAGAAGAACTCCAAAGGTAAAGGTTAGTCTACATGCTCTTTCACACTTTCTAGATAACCAACAATTTTCTGGTTTACAGTGATACACAACAAAGTTATTTATTTATTTTTCTGGATGCTGGAGACAAACATCTTTATTAAAGACACTACCAAAATTTTGGCAAACATTTCAAAACAGATTTGTAAACATAATGCTTCCCTTTTCAACTGGCAGCACTTTGAAAAGACAATACAATACGACAATACAACTTGAATCAACATTAGTTCAAAATCCTTATATTTTTGACCACATAACTTATGTTCCCACATGATAAAACAAGTGACAGTTTAAATCAACGTCAACAGATAAACTCCATGAAATGAAAGTTTGTGCTGTTTGATGAATCACAGTATGTTATGGTTAAATATATCCACTCTTTTTTATATTCCTGGCACCAGGATGAAAAAAAATCTTTAAATATACATTTTATGTAGGTAATAGCTTCTTTGCATATCTCTCTTCAAAAAATACTTTATAGCAGTATATAAATAGGTTACCTACACATTTAATTTTATAATTTGCCCCAAAACTATAGATCTGTTTCATTTTCATGACATATCAATTTTTGCCCAACAATATTAAAGCTGACAAACTCGTTGAAATGGAAATGCTTTTGTCTTCCACAAAAGAAGTAGCAATTTGATAGGAAAAAAAACAAAACAAAACCCTACAGTAACACTCATCAGTTGTTTAACCTGAGCGTTTGGCCTACTTGGAGTAGCAGCTTTTTTTCCTTCATGCACGCTCACATCCACACCACCTCTGCACACATACAGATCGAGCACACACTTCCAGATGCTGGTAGGCCACAATATGCTTCCCATTGCTCTAATCAAGTGGGAAGCAGTGTAGCTAATGATTAACCACACTATGTACACAACTAGCAAACACCTTAAGGCAACCATTGCAATGGGGGGTTAACTTGCAGGGCAGATTTAATGTTCTAGATCAAGTCAGCCTGTATATACATATGTGTATGTGAATCCACACATACACCTTTATATTTTTTTAACCCTCCAAGACAATGTTTATTTTTTTAATTTTGTGCAAATTTCTAAATATTCTACCATTTAAGGCAAAGAGTTTGCATTAAGAAAGGTCAAAAATAGGCTTATGTTTATCCAAAAGCATTTCACCTTGCACATTACTGTTGTTGTTTTTTAAAACACAAAGAACTTTTAAGTGTGGACAGTGGATCCCCAATATCTAAAAAATCATTTCTAATAACAAACGCAGGTTTTTGAGGAGAAAAAACTGATTTGAAATATAGACAATGGATCCCCAATACCTAAAAAATTATTTCTATTAACAAACACAAGTCTTGGGGGTGAGATGGGGGAGGACCAGAAAGAGCAGCTTCGAAATGCAGGGAAGCAAAGTAAAATGGAAAAGAAAAAGTAACTCAAGTTTACTAATACTGAAACTTTCAACAGCCAAAGTTTCACCTTTTTAGAATCTAGAGCAACTCATTTGGAATTTTCAATAAATAAGCTTAAGTTTATTCACATCTTCTGGTCCAAGCAGAGTTCTAGTGCCATGACTCTGCTTGCTGTTGGTCAAATTCACCTATTAGCCTTTTGATGTGAGCCAGCTTGTTATGAAGATATTCACACCTGTATTTTTCTTCATGGTAATTGGGACTAGACTGCAGATGAAACAAAGAAACCAGTGAGGAATGAGGTTGCAGAATTTGCAACATTTTTCAACCACAGGTTAAAAAATTAACAGTGACTATACCTACCTGCTTTATCTTCTGATATTCTTGTAAGACTTCTTCATGAACATTCTACAAAATTAAATATCAGAAATTAGAAGAGAACAACTTCTTCTGTGTGTAGCAATACAAATAGCTAACATGCATTCAGTAAGGGTATAGGAAATATTGACTGTGGGAATGTAACTTGAAACAATCTTTATGAAACGCAGTGTGGCAACAGCTATCAAAATAGAAAATGCAAAATTGACTCAGCAATTTTACTTATCCTATGGATATACTTGCCCCTGAGTGAATAACGCATATACAAGATTATTCACTGCAGCGCTGTTTGTAAAGCAGAAGACAGTAAACAAAATTGAAATGTTCATCAATCTATATAAAGGATACTAAGAGGCCATTAAAACATGGGGAAGTACTTTATGTACCAATAAAAAAAAGTTCTCCAAGATGCATTATATTGTTTAGTGAAAAAAAGCAAAGTGCAGAACACTATGGACAGCTTGATACCATTTGTTTAAAAGGGACAAACAGAATAGTATTATATTCTAAGAATTTCATTACTTGTAAGATGCTCATTTCTCCCCATTTTAATGAAACCAGTACAAACACTAATGTATCATAATTAAGTTATTAGGACATAAAACAATGGTACATCTTACAAATGAAGAAACCTTAGATTCAATTAAATATGGTGTATATGCTGAATTTACTATGTACATACATTTTATAACATGTGTACATACATTCACATACCGCACACATAAACACACTTCTGAAAGAATACACTGGAAACCAGAACAGTGATTGTTTATGGGGGTTGGTGGGGGGTGGTCAGGTTCCTGGAGGGATAATAGCTAGCCTAATGTATGTACCAAGTACCAGGCATGGATCCAGGCACTTTACTAGTGCTTACTTATGTTTATTCCTCACAACTCAATGATTATCCCATTTTATGGATAGGGAATTCATAGGCAAAGAAGCACTCAGTAACTTGCCGAAGGCCACACAAATATTAACCGCTCCTAACCAAGTAATCCTTGGAACTACATTCTAGTTTCAGTGGAATCATATACACTGATAAATGACTATACAGAAAAAAAAAAAACCCCAAACCACCGCATCACCAATCTCTTGTACCTCTAAACACTGATTCTTCTGGCATAGTCTCTTATAACTCTCACAAGCTTGTTGAAAAAGATTAAGGCCCACTAATAGAAGACATAATAAATTTCTAGGATGCAAATGCTCTCAGGCTGTTTTCCCGTTGTGGGAAAACTCATCCATTGTCTCATGTAAGTTCCAGCCTGGGCAGTGGTAGGGGGCTGGGACAGAGGTGCCACTATACCATCTGTCTGTGAAGTGTGTCAAAGTAACCTAGCCCACAGGGGAGGGAATACTCATTTCTATCAATCCTTTTGCTAAGAACTACAAAAAATAATCAGAAGACAGATCAGGCATCTCCTGCTCTTCGTCAGCTGTAGTAATATTACCACTTCAAGTAGGAAAGTGAAAACAAAGTAAGACGGGTTATCAAAGATCACTCTGTAGTGAGAAGGACCAAACTTCTTTACTTAAGCCCCAAGTCTCTGTGTATGAAGCCTTCTTTATTTCCTATGTCTATATCTTTCCTATTTTATGTCAGATTGAGGTTTAAAACAAAACAACTTGAAACAGCACTATTTTGGGATAGCACCAGACCTATGAGCTGCAGTCTAAGTTGGCAGTGTAATTAATCAAATATTTAACTGAGTCTCAAGATCCAACTTTTTCTCCTATTTAGTTGTGTTTGGTATTTTTCTGAGTATGTGATATGTTATAGTGGCACAAGTTTTTTTCCACTGGTAGAAATACAGGTTTACTATGGTAATTTATTCTCAAGAACTATTTCAAATATTTAGTTTCCTAAAGCAGCAAAGAAACTGGTCTGTAAGAGTACTCACTCTAAAGGCCACTGTGATGGCTGATGTTGAGCAGGGCAGGGAAAGAAAAAAGGTAAAATATTATAGTCAGTCCATCTAGGAAAAAATCCATTTACCTGATACTCTTTTGAGCCTGGAGAAAGGCGCTTTCGTTGTGCATCTAGTTTGATAAATCTTCTAGCTACAGTCTCCATCCTGGCATGCAAGGCTCTGTACTCATCATACTCTGCATTGAAGTCATCCTTATAATTCTGGCGTTGCTCATAGGAGACGATAGCGATATATTTTCTAATAAGATAAAAGGAAAAAAGATAAATGGAGAGTAGCTACACAATAAACATGAATATGCAAGTCTGAGATTTAAACCAAATATTTAGAGATTATATTCATGCATGTGTCACTAATGTTTAATGCCACTCTGCCACTGGTTGGCTGCCAGATCACTCCTCCAAACATCTTCCGGGTAAAATGATTACACAGGAGAGTCTGAGAGCTTCAATGAAACAGAGTAAATGTGGCAAAGACATGGTGGCAATGGAACTAAAATGCAACTAAGTAAAAAGAAAACAATACTTACATAGATCTAGTTTCCTGAACCTTCCTCTATCCAAGATAATTCACTACCACACTAATGGTAGATGCCAAACCGTCTGTTACAAGTCACAAAGAGACAGAGGGACTCAATGGGTAATGTGAGACCAGGAGAATGTCATGCAGTCACTGAGTGCTCATAGTCAAAGCTCTCTCTGGACCTACTGCTTTAAGAGAGGCAGTCAGTTGCTTGGCCTTTCAGACATGCCACCAGCAGAAATCTTCAACAAAGCCTGAGGTCAGGCTTGCTTCCTCTATCCCTTTCCTCATATTTCTGACCAGGCAAATATATAAAATACAAAAGGGAAATTACCAACCATTTTGTAAAATGAGACTTGGACCAAAAAGTCATGTTTCTCTAGTTCTTTTCAAACACTTAAGTGTCATACTCTGTTGAACAGAAGCCAGTGTTGTATTATTTGTCTAATTTACTTTCTTAATAAAATGACGTAAATCTGTGTTTTACTTTGGGATATGAATTACTCTTACCTGGTAAGAGAAGACCATTTTCCCAGAGCACTAATTTATTCAGTGATAAGTAAATTTAAACAGCATTTTATCATTAAACTTAGTATTAAGTTTTTTGTTTGTTTGTTTTTTGAGACTGAATCTAGCTTCTGTTGCCCAGGCTGGAGGGCAGTGGCATGATCTCAGCTCACTGCAACCTCTACCTCCTGGGCTCAACCAGTTTTCGTGCCTCAGCCTCCTGAGTAGCTGAGGTTATAGGCATGAGCCACCATGCCCAGATAATTTTTGTATTTTTAGTAGAGACAGGGTTTCATCATGTTGCCCAGGCTGGTCTTATCATGTTGCCCTGCCTTGCCTTCCCAAAGTGCTGAGATTACAGGTATGAGCCACTGCACCTGGCCTATTAGAGTGTTCCTTATTTGTAGATCTAGGAACTGGGATCACATAAGGATCTGGCCTGGTTCTTTGAACTCTGTTTCTGTCATTAATGCAAAATTCCCTTGACTTTCTGAAATAAAAATGGAGAATTCAAAGCAATTTCAGGCAGGTAGCAGAAGCTTCAGGACGCCCCCTAAAGGTACACATATATTTTTCACTGTCACAAAATCTTGGAGTTCAGCCCTCTCCAAATGGTCTTATATAAGCTCATCAGTTTATTTAAATTGCTAATATCACAGAAGCCTAGCAGGAAATGTAAGCGATGAGCAAACTTAGTGTCCTCATTAATATTTTTATTCATGCTGAGTTAGACAGTGTAGCGGTTTAATTTTCTACAAGTAATTGAGACAGTGATAGTCTGCTGATATAAAGCTGCCCTCCTGGTGTCTTAGCTATAAAAGAAACACTGCCAGCCAAGCAGTGAAGCAGTGCTTCCTGGGCATGGGCTGTCCTGACTACACACCAGAGGGAACCCTGGAATAAAAAGAGGTCCCTGGGGATAAGCATACATAAGCAACACAGTTAAACTGATCTTAAAACTCAGACTTAATTTGTTAAATATTTATTGTGCTTTCTCAAAATCACACCTTCAGTATTTTATTTAATAATTTCCTTAGAGAATATACCAAACTGGTCAACAATTGTGTTGCTCCAAAAGCAATGGAAACGAAAGCCAAAATAGACAAATGGGATCTAACTAAACTTAAGAGTTTCTGCACAGCAAAACAAACAATCATCAGAGTGAGCCAGCAACCAACAGAATGGGCAAAAATTTTTGCAATCTACCCATCTGACAAAGGGCTAATATCCAGAATCTAGAAAGAACTAAAGCAGATTTACAAGAAAAAAACCAAACAAACCCATTCAAAAGTAAGTGAAAGATATGAACAGATACTTTTTAAGGGAAGACATTTATAAGGCCAACAAACATATGAAAAAATGCTCATCATCACTGGTCATTAGAGAAATGCAAATCAAAACCACACCGAGATACCATCTCATGCCAGTTAGAATGGTGATCATTACAAAATCTGGAGACAACAGATGCTGGAGAGGATATGGAGAAATAGAAATACTTTTACACTGTTGGTGGGAGTGTAAATTAGTTCAACCATTGTGGAAGACAGTGTGGTGATTCCTCAAATATATAGAAATAGAAATTCCATTTGACCCAGTAATCCCATTACTGGGTGTATACCCAAAGGATTATAAATCATTCTATCATAAAGACACATGCACATGTATGTTCACTGTGGCACTGTTTACAATAGCAAAGACTTGGAACCAACCCAAATGCCCATCAATGATACACTGGACAAAGAAAATGTGGCACATATACACCATGGAATACAATGCAGCCATAAAAAAGGATGAGTTAATGTCGTTTGTAGGGACATGGATGAATCTGGAAACCATCATTCTCAGCAGACACAAGAACAGAAAACAAAACACCGCATGTTCTCACTCATAGGCGGGTGTTGAACAATGAGAACATATGGACACAGGGAGGGGAACATCATACACTGGGGTCTGTTGAGGGGTAAGGGGCTAGGGGAGGGACATCGGGGGTAGGGAGGGATAACATTGAGAGAAATGCCTGATGTAGGTGACAGGGAGATGGAAGCAGCAAACCACCATGGCATGTGTGTACTATGCAACAATCCTGCAAGATCTGCACATATACCCCAGAACTTAAAGTACAATTAAAAAAAATTAATAAACACTTGAGGAAGAAAAAAAACAATTGTGTTGCTATTATAGAAGAGACTATTTGGTTACACTGGCATTTTAAGAAAAAGCATTTCCCTATTTTTAAGAAAAACTGTTGTAGTTCTAAAGTTGGCTCTTTATACAGTGATGGAAAAAATTTTAAACAATTTTGATAGCTTAAAAACTACAAGCAAAAGTATTCTTACTGCATAAAAATTAGAAATATTTTGGTTAAGTATAAATTATTCGCAGGTTGATCATTTAGGTTTTATAGGATGTCCCTTCAGTTTTCTTATGAAGCAACTTAAGTTCTGTATTTTTGGTAATTTTTCTGAAAATCCATGCTTTCTCACCATTTTTTGAAAATTTGCTGTATTTATATAAGACTAGTTTTGGGTTAATATAAATTGCCTTTATTTAAATAAATTAAGCAAACAGTCACATAGCCCTAGAAACATAACAGACATATAGAAATGCACTGAGACGGATCCAGGAACTATCCTTAGGTAAGTAATCTGAAAAAAACCTTTTAAATATGGAATTAAGGCTGGTGTGGTAGCTCATGCCTGTAATTCCAGCACTTTGTGAGGCTGGGGCTGGTGGATCACCTGAGGTCAGGAGTTCAAGACTAGCCTGGCCAACATGGTGAAACTCTGTCTCTACTAAAAATACAAAAAATTGGCCGGGCGCGGTGGCTCAAGCCTGTAATCCCAGCACTTTGGGAGGCCGAGACGGGTGGATCACGAGGTCGAGAAATCGAGACCATCCTGGTCAACATGGTGAAACCCCGTATCTACTAAAAATACAAAAAATTAGCTGGGCACAGTGGTGCGTGCCTGTAATCCCAGCTACTCGGGAGGCTGAGGCAGGAGAATTGCCTGAACCCAGGAGGCGGAGGTTGCAGTGAGCCGAGATCGCGCCACTGCACTCCAGCCTAGGTAACAAGAGCGAAACTCCGTCTCAAAAAAAAAATACAAAAAATTAGCCAGGCATGGTGGTGGATGCCTGTAATCCCAGCTACTTGAGAGGCTCCTTTTGAACCCTGGAGTTGGAGGTTGCAGTGAGCTGAGGTTGTACCACTGCATTTCAGCCTAGGCAATAAGAGCAAAACTCTTATCTGGTGGTGGTGGGCGGGGGACAGGGGGCGGGGGGCGGGGAGAAGGAAGGGGGTGATTAACTCATGAACCTGGCAAAACAACAATACCCTTGAATCCATGGGGAAAAGTTTAGCATTATTTTTTAGTTTCCCCACATGATTTTGTCATGTATAATAAGTAGATGTCACTATTATAAAAAATAATTCAAAATCCATCAAAAACGAAGAGAACTGCATTGGCAGCTGTTACTCAAGGGGCTGACATTTAAAAGTTCTAAGGAGAAGTGGTTTGCTGTTAAAAAGGTGAACCCCCTCAGCAGCAGAGCCAGAGGCTGTCCTGGAAGCCTGGCTGCAGACAAGTGACCCTTCCTGGGCAAACTAAGTGGTAGGTGATAGCTGCCTTTCAAGGCTCTCCTACAGAACTCTAAAACCATACACTACCTCAGATGAGAGGGTACTCAGCAAGGTTTCTCGAGTTCCTGTTAGTTAAGAGATGATAACCAGCATTATGGTTTCATACTATATCATTCCCCAATAAGTATAGCTTTCACACTACTGTTAAGCAGAAGTAACACATTTTAAAGCTAAAATGATCTCTACTCTGGAAATGAAAAGGGCTAAACAGCATAGTTTAACACTGTCCATCATGAGATGTTTTAATAGAAAAAAAAATGTTCAGACAGCCCAGATTCAATTTTCCCTTCTACATTCTAGCTATTTTGCACATTTGTTCATTTTCAAAGCTATCCAAAGTAATATTTATTTGCTCTTTCCCTCTCCATTTTTCCAGGCTCTTGCAACTTAATTATTTTCTTCTTACAGAAGCCTTTTATTCTGTAAAAAAGCTAGAATTATGTGTTCAAGTTATAATTTCTGTGATAACCAGTTACAAAAATGTCCCCAGCTCAGCATTTAGCAACTTGTTGTCATAACAAGAAAAACATTATAACCATTACTAAATTGAAATGATCAGAGTTTACTATTCTCTCCTCTAAAAATTAATTTGAGGAAAGAACTTTTCTTAAATAAAAATCTATCTTTACATTTTATATTATTATGTGCAGAGGTTCAAGCACTTTGTCAGTAATAAACCATCCCTTTCGGGGACCCAAGTGAATGACTGTGCATTGACAGACTGTCAGCTTTGAAGAGTCGGATCCCTAAAATCTTCCACAAACAAATGCTTAGCCTGGCCCCGGAACAAAGAACAGGCTTCTCTATACTTAAAGGCCAACGAACACAGCTCAGAGCCGGGGGGAGGCACAACCTGCTCATGCAGACAAGAGTAGATTTGGGACAAGCAGGCTTAATGGCAGCCTTTCAATTGCAGAGGTGGCTCCAGGACTCTATTTCTGGAACTTCTTACTTTTCTGATTTGCAAATTATGGGAAAAGAATTTGCAAACGTTCTAAAATTAAACTGCTCTTTCCATTGGCAGACATATGAACTTACATCAAATAATCTGGGAGTTCAATTGCTGAAGATTCCATGGAAGCAGTGCAATCCTCTTTAACTCCTACAAAGAAAAAAAAACAAAAACAAAATCAGAGCATTCATCAACCAGGAAGGTTATCAAATGCCTGTAATTCTAAAATAGATTAGAAACATCTGGAACACTTTTCCTCAAATTCTATTCTTCCATCTCAATAAGCAACACTGAGCAAGGAATACAATTGAACATGAACAATAGAGGCCCTATGACCAGCGCCAGCAGAACCGACGCCAGGCATTTAAAGCACCCTGGCTACTGCAGTGTCTGCACAATAAAGGAATTCCATCTTAACCCAAGGTCAATCTTCTATTCTTTCAACAACAGTTGTGGCATCTGCCCAGCAATTCAAAGATTGTGGTGGCAGATGCAGCCAGACAATAGGAGATACAAATTTTACATCAACATCTACTTTTCATGGGATTCAAACAAGGCGATGAGACAATAGAGTCAGGTAGCAGACTGCTTTGGTCACTGTACTTATATTGCCTCCCTTTTTTGTATGCAGACAGTGAAACTGGATAGGAAGTTTTCCCATTGGTTTAAAGTAATTTAAAATAGGGTATTATTGAATGTCAATTTATATTCCTGTAATCTATAGCACTCATAACACTAAGCAGATTTTTTTTTTAAGGACAAAACATTTTTAAGTGCTAAACATTGTGGCTACACAGTGCAAGTATGTAAATCCTTCAGTATTCCATTTGCCTAAATGCACCATGTCCAGAGGGTATGTTTAGATTTTTTATTTGGATAATTTTTTATCATTCAAAATAGGGTTAAACTGATAACTCAAACCCTAATCATACCCACTGGCAAAACATATAAAATGAAAGTGAATATTAGGTAATTTCTTGGTTTAATATTTTAAAGAACAAAGTACCCTAAGCAAATATTATACATAGATTCTGAGTGCATGCTGCTCACCTATAAATATATTTGATTCATGCTTGGGTAAAAGAACACACTTTTACAATAGGCTGAATCTTAAAGAGAAAGGCATTGAGTGCAGGTCACCTGGCTTCCCTTCTGCCACAAATACCAGATAAGTTCCAAAACATGCAGATGTGGGTCTGGAGTTTTCCTAAATTTGTGATTATGCCAACTGGTTCTGAAAGTTACTATATACTCAGTAAAGGATTCGAAGAGACTAAGTCTGCTTCTCCAGGTCTCCAACTCTGAGAACACTCGAAACTCTGATGTAGATCTCAACATACTGAAATACAGTTTTCCTGTCTCTAGTCTATGACTCAGAATCACCACCTGAGGGTAGAAAGTGTGGAGAGTGCAGTTTACCCAGTAGCTTATGAACTCTGAACAGGAGTTCTACTTCTTAATTTCTTTTCCTGACCTGACAAATTCAACTATAAGAGTGTTGAGGGAAAAAGCTTACACCTACCTTTTGTGCCATTACATAGTATTATATTGACTGAAATATTTAAACAGAAATGCTTTGACATGCAATGTATCCAGTCTAGATCAATAGAAGCAATGTATCATATCATATTATTCTGCAAAGGCTTCTTTGGAAGTACCACTAAAAGAAAACAGCTTCTCTCATATGGTAAAGATTAAATCTAAGGATTACAGACTTTCAGAATTATGAGCAAAATACAGAAATACAACTCTCCTTATAACTCCACTCATTAAAGTAATTTTTCCAAAGCCATATTTTCCAAGGGAATTTTGCCTTAGTTATGGGTTCAAAACTGGCAGCAATGCCAAATGGTGAACTAGGATCTTCTTTTTTTTGGTGCTTCTGACTTGGTAATTTATTATTTTTTTTAATTGCGAATTTGGATCTTCTATGTACTGGCATGCAAGGCATTAAGTTTTAGAGGACATATTTTTAAACAAGAAAAATCTAATTTTGTCAGTTTTTAACACTCAGGACATCTTAGGCAAGCAGGCTTTTTATGAATTACCTCTTTCCTTTAAAGGTAAAGCTTTAAGTTTCTTTGGATCTCTAGATATTTAGCATTTAAGCTCTTAAAGCTTGAAATGGTTAATTTTACAAATAACAATTGATGTTAGTTCACTAAAACAGGACTCTCAAAACTGGGATAAAAAGCTTCAATCCTTAAGATTTATTAAGCAAACACTAGCTAACAGCTTTGCAAAAAACAAAGTGTTTTCACTCTAAATAAAGATGATGTTATGGATCTGCAAATAAAATTTTATTTCACCTGATTTATTAAAAAGTTGACATTTCCCCTGTGCTATTATTAATTAAAGCAAGGTGACCTTGTTTCATTGAGAAAGAAGGAAATGAATGTTCTTACTGTGAATTGTGTCTGGTTAAATCAGTTCAAGAATGGCATATAATAGGTCATGTTGAGGTTGCACAATATAATAACAGAAATGGAAAAGAATGTTAAAAGTCCAAAAGTAAGTCTCTGAAGTGTGACAGAGTTATTTTCAAATGCCATTCTTATTAATATAGAAACCATGTTTAATAATTGGCCAAAAAGAGACTGAAAACAACTGCTGTAAAATGAAAAAAAAAAACAAAAAAAAAACTGCTCAAAAGCACAACACTAAATAATAATGAAACAGCATTTGCTAAAAAAGCATTACTAATTATAAACTGTATAATTTCAAACTCATGATAGCATGCATTTCCAGTTCATCTAACATGTAGTCGGTACTTTTACAAAGGTAAAATACCTCCACTGGAATTTGGACTGGAGTTATTTAGCTTGTCAATTTCCTCTTCTCTCTTAAGATCTTCCTCCTTTTCCTCAATAGTCTCAATGTCGTGCTTTTTTATTTGGTCCTTTTCCTTATGTTTTTTAGACTTCTTTTTGGATTTTTTGTGAGACATTGAATGGTTTTCTTCCATAGGCTTTGGACACTTTAGATGAACTGAACCAGGGGGTAAGGTTTCCAGAGAAGTCCTAGAGGTATATTTGTCTTGCTGGTCCTCATAGATACTATTGTTTTGACTAAAACTGTCAACAGGTAGGTCTTGAGTCCCCCGTCCTTCTGGAGTGCTAGGGGAATTGGAGTTAGAATTTACAATGTGAGGAGGATGTGAGACGGGCAGATGGGTTGAAGGCAGCGGTGGAGGGGTGGGGATGGCAGCAGCTGCAGGGGGCAGCGGGAGGCCTGCAGCAGATTTTTCACTGGTGGGATTCAAATGACCATTTAGTGTTGGTGGTACTCTGTTCGTCAAGTGAGATATTCGGGCTTTTTTATTCATTAAAGGATCAATAAACTCTGAATCCAAAAGCCGTTTCTAGGGGAGGGAAAAGGAAAAAAAGTGAGCCAGTTTGCACTAGAATTAAATAAATTCAATATATGCCTGGGTTAAACAACTAAGTCACCTTACTCATACTTAAGTCTATTACCAGGGTTATGTTAACCTTTCTTCACATTTAAGCAAAGCAAAACAAAACAAAAAAATCCACCCAAACAAAAACTAAACCAGAACAACAACAACATAAAACCAAATGTGAAATAAATTTTCATGTTTAATGTCAAAAAGCAGAATCTGGCAAATGTTTCTCGGAGTGCTTACTGAATTCTTTCTGATCATACAGCTTTACCCTAAGTTCCAAGCGAGACTATCCTGATTTATGTGGATTATACCACTTGGGAAGGTGTTAAACAAAGGCAGTTGCCCTCCTTGCTGGCCATGGTTGACCTAGTTATATTAAATGAGAGAAAGCAATTTGTCCCATTTGACTCTGTGAGAACTAACACAGCTAGGTAAAGGGCAATAGCCCACACTTATTTTAATCTTTGATGGGCTAAAATGCTCCAGTTAATAATATTTTGGCTGTCATTTATCATTCCACCTGTCTTAGAGTGGGAACAGCCAGCACTTTCAGAGTAGTTTCTCTGATTATCTCTATCACTATTGAAATGCTATTTAATTTTTTTTTTTACCCTTACATATCTCTTTACCAGATTGGAAAACAGGTCTTAACAACTACTGGCCTAACTAAAATTAGGTGGAAGTACTTAAAAAATAAATAATGGTAATAGTAGCCCAATCTGTCATCCACAATAATAGTATTTAAGGTAAAAAGGAAATTTAGATAGTTGAAAAGTACAAAATATAAATTCACATTTATGCTTAAATGTAATGCTGTGGCTTGTATTTTGGCTTGAAAGAAAATAATGGTAATCAACTCATTACTTTATTCTGTTTTCAATTTAACACTATTTATTTGGCACCCAGTATATAATCTGATCAGAGTAGAAATAATTTCATAATAGTTGGCATTAAAAGTGAGACTTCCACAGACACTGTATATGCAAGGACAGAACTGTTTTCCTTTTTCTTTTTTGTTCCCCCTCTGTTCATCACAATAGGTTTCTAATATTTTTGGATGTGTGAATGGCCTTTGCCCAGGGCATGCTTAGTGTTCTCTACACATCTGTGGACCTCTCACTAATTCTTGGGAGTAGGGTCTCTCACAGAGAGAGAGGCAGACCCTTTGTCAGGACTACTGCGGGGAGGAGGCCATCCCAGTGTCTGTCAAAAGCACCCAGAACACTGAGAGAGTTCTGAGGTTGGCCAGTCAGCTAAGAAGGAGGCAGGCTTCACTCTAGTACTGCCTAGGACCTTCTCACCTTTACTAGGATAAGCTGAATCTCTTGGGGAAAACTCTAAACTGGAGAAGAATCTGATTGGGAGTACTCTGATAAGGATCCAACTGAAAAGGGCTTTAAGAAAGCATGGGAACGTGCCATCATTTTTGTTTATTTGCTGATTGTAAATCCATTTCCCCCCAAAATATTCTTCTGGAACATGTTGCCAGACAAAATTAAATCTCTTCAATTTTCCATATAATCTGATAATTGTATGGGACTGGATAAGTCTTCTAGTTAGTGACCAAATTGGAAAGTAGATAACCTTACAACAAAATGTAAACTATAAAAATGGAAACCAAGGTAGACATTAAGTACGCTGACAAACAGTGCTGTGTAGTAGAGAGAGTTCTGGGCTGGAAGCCAAGACCTAAATTCTAAGCTCAGCCACGACCAGCTGGCTTTGGGTAGGCAAGCTGTGCAGCTTCTCAGGGCCTCATCTCCCTCACTTATACATCAGAGGAACTGATTAGTGGCTTCTAATGTTTATGCCAGGTCTATAATTCTATAAGTTTATGAAATACCTGAGGAGAAGACACAGCATCTCTACTAGAACATACAGGAGATTCTGAACGGCTGGTGCCTGCAGCATTCTGAGATGGATTTAGTTTTCTGTAAAGGACACACATGTTATGTGTTATGGAAATAATTTAAAAATGTTCATGATGGAAAGCTCACCTTGCTTTGCTTTCCCACCTTAAAACTAAAATAACAATGACTAAAATAATTGCTTATTTCTTTAATTTTTAAAGAAATTTTTTTTTAAAAGCAAGAAAAAGAGAAATCACCTAGACAACACTGACTCCAATGACCGTCTGTCCATTTCACTGTATCCAGGCCAGTCTCTTTGAAGCTCTTTAAAAACATAATCCTTTAAAGTATATGAGAGGTCCTTAGGATTCAGATTGGCTACCTGGTATGGGGTATAAAAACAGAGCATTAGGTATTTTTATTATCATCTCCTAACCTAAAACAGGCAACCTTTAGGATTCATACTGAAAATAATTACATCAATTGGCCCCAAAAGGACTGTAGTTTGTATTATATGCCAGATCTCAATAAATGCCATTAACTTCATTTTGGGAATTAAAACTTTATATACACAGCTTAATGTTTTTTTTTTTTTTTTCCCTGAATGGCCATTGCATTTTTAATGTTTCTAATCAAACAATAAGCCCATATTAGGAAAAATGAGATTTTAAAAAATCAATTATTTTAGTCAAAGGAATCTAAAACAGTTGTATAGTAGTCCCCTCCTTATCGTCAAAGGATATAGTCCGACACCCCCAGTGGGTACCTAGAAACTCTGATGGTAATAAACCCTATATATACTGTTTTTTCCTATACATACATACCTGATAGTTTATAAATTAGGCACAGTAAGAGATGAACAACAATAACTATTAATAAAATAGAGCAATTATGCCAACATGCTGGCCATGATTACTCTTGCGATTTGGGGACATTACTAAGTAAAATAAGGGTAACTTGAACACAAGCACTGTGATATCACAGCAGTCGATTTGAAAATGGAGACAGCTAGTGACTAATGGGGGACATATAGAGGGTTATCAGATCCACTGCCATGGTATCGCAGTACATTTGTCCAGGTAACCCTTATTATACTTAATAATGGCCCAAGACGGCTACTAAGTGACTAATGAGTGGGTAGCAGCTACAGTGTAAAGCTGGACAAAGGGATAATTCACATCCTAGGCAGGACAGAGCAGAACAATGTGAGGTCTCATCACGTTACTCAAAACAGTATGCAACTTAAAACCAACAAAATGTTTTTCTCTGAAATTTTTCTTTTAGTATTTTTGGATCATGGTTGACCGTGGGTAACTGAAATCCCAGAAAGTGAAACCATGGATAAGGACTACGGTATTACTAACATCCTTATTTACTTCTGGGCAGAGTCCATTACTTGAATCACAATAAAAATCCTTGAATTAAGTAGAAACCAAACAGTGGTTTGGTTTTTGAATCACAATAAAAATCACTTGTATTAAGTAGAAACCAAACAGTGCCCAAATGTTGGGTTATAAACTTTCAGTCATCAACAAAAACTTTTACATCATAAATAGTATCACTTCTGATAACCCTGTCTGTCTTTTTTTGAATAACCATGCTTGCTTCTTCTTTCTGCCAGTTCTCCTGAAGAACCACTTATTTAAAGTCCTTGAAATTCCCCAAACCAATAAATGAAAACATGTGCCTAAAGAACCCCTAAATTACTGTTATTAGTCAGCCAGTTTATTCTGAAGTGTAACACATTTTCTTATCCCTTAACTGCATTTCCTAGCGTGTCAGGGCTTAGCCATTAACTAACTACACGAACATATGGCTTCATGTGCCAAACCAAAAGTAATTTTTAAGGCTAGGAGAAAATTATTCTTGCCTATCACTTCCTACTGGAATAGATCATTCTATGTCTTTTAAAAGTACTATCAAATATAATATGATAGTTTATGCTTCTCATAGGTTAGCTGAACACTATTCTAACATTAATGTTGCTATGAAGAATAGGTTTAGCTTAAAATTCAAATTTGCAAATAAGTTAATATAGGATAATATCAGATTTCTTGAAGTGGAATAAATGCAATCCATGATCCATCAGTTTTCTTTTCTTTCTTCTTACTCTTTTTTCTCTTTTCTTTTCAAGACAAGGTCTTACTCTGTCACCCAGGCTAGAGTGACTGCAGCCTCAATCTCGGGCTCAGGTGATCAGGTGGACACTATCATGCCCAGCTAATTTTTTGTATTTTGCATTTTTTTTTGTAGAGAAGAGTTTTTGCCATATTGCCCAGGCTGGTCTCAAACCCCTGAGCTCAAGCAATGCTCCCTTGGCCTACCCAAGTGCTGGGATTGTAGGTATGAGCCAATATGTCTTCCATTTTGTCTTACCCCTAGTACTACACATAACACCCCACCCCCACAGCAATCTGTTTTCTAGGTTTCTGTAATAGGACATTCTCTTGGTTTCCTCCTACCTTGGGACCTTTTTCTCCCCTGACATGAAGTCTTGCTCTGTCACCCAGGCTGGAGTGCAGTGGTACAATCTCGGCTCACTACAACCTCTGCCTCCTGGCTTCAAGCAATTCTCCTGCCTCAGCCTCCCGAGAAGTGGGAATTATAGGCGCCTGCCACTGCACCCATCTAATTTTTGTATTTCTAGTAGAAACAAGGTTTCATCATGTTGGCCAGGCTGGTCTTGAACTCCTGACCCTGTGATCTGCTGACCTCAGCCTCCTGAAGTGCTGCGATTATAGGCATGAGCCACTGTGCCAGGCCCAGGACCTTTGTTTTTTAAGTTTCTGTTTCTCAATCCTCTATATGTTGAAATGCTGAAGTGCTCAGTGCCTGTTTTCTGCTCTGTTTTCCTCATTCTCTTCATTTCCTCCTAAGATGATTTCATTAAGTTTGAAGACTTTCAATACCCGATATATATGCTGCTAATTCCTAAATTTGTAACTCTAGCCCCAAGTATTCTCTGACAACCACACCCTTGTATACAACTTTCTATTGACATCTATCTCCACTTGGATATGTCTAATAGACATCTTCCAAATATAGTCTATGTAAAACAGAATTCCTGATTCTCTTCTCCCCCTTAAACCTACTCCTTTTCCATCCCTCCGCATCTCAGACAATGGCTCAATATCCATTCAGTTGCTCAGACAAAAACCTAGCCATAATCACAGAGTCCATTCTTCCCCTCATTGTCTCCCTACTCCCAACCATTACCAAGTCATATCACAAAATGTTTCGCTCTTTAAGTAGTCTCTCTCCTCTACTCCTGCCCCTCCAAGCCATTCTTGCGTAGGAGTCTGAGTGATCTTTTTAAACTTATAAATCAGATTATATTGTATCTTTTTTTAAAACCATAATGAGTTCCCATCTCACTTAAAATAAAACCTAAGCTTCTTGCCCATGGCCTAAAAAAATCCTCTGGGACTTAACCTCTGCCTCCCTCTTCCATCTGCTCTGGACTCTGTCTTGAACACACCTACAAGTGCTGACTCATCTTGTCTTTCCCTCATCATTTCAGTTAAAATGTAGGCATGTGAGAAAAGGTTCCCTGATCTCTCCAGGTAGCTGATCCCTTCCCCAACTCCTTTCAACACCCCATTCAACCTGAAATTGTCTCATGAATAAGCTCCATGAGGGCTGGGTTTCTATTGGGGTCACTTTGGGATTCCAGCATTTAAAACAGTGTCTGGTACATTGTAGGTACTTAATAAATTGAATTGAATGAATGAATGTTCAGCTTGAGCCAAATATCCAAATGTTAAGCTTGAAACATTCAACTGTATCTAGTTTCTGATATTAAAATTTAGTTTTTCCATAAAAAGTCATTCTAAAAAAAAAGATTTTATTAATACATACCAGTTTAATAATAAACAGCAATAAACAAATTTCCTGGTGGATGTTAAGCATTTTTAAATTTAGGTACAATCTTTCAAATTTTACTGGGAGCCAACATCTCAGTTTATTTTAAAAACCTATTACTTTGATGAATTAACAATGTCCACAGGGTTCTGAAAATTACTGTGTAAGTAACAAATAAGCAAATTATCTCTACTGGCACAGACAAAACATAACTGATATTTTAGGTAGCTTGTTTCCCAACTAGTTTGTGTGGGACAGAATAATCAATTTTGGGATGATTTGTGTATCTTGCTGTTCTTTTTCCTTTTCTCTGATGCCCACTTTTGGTCAGTTTTATTGGAGCAAAGTCATTTTATTTTTCTTGTTACCTGCTAGCTATGTTCAGGAAAGGGAACTTAGGTATAATTGGTTTACATCAAAGTTCTGAATATTCCGTTGTTACCTTCCTTGTGAGGATGAAATGAGATCGTGCATGTGAAATGCCTAGCACTGTGCCTGGCACAGGTATACGCTCCAAAAATGGTAGATGTTATTAGCCCTTCTATCTGTGTTTTCACTAGGCCAGTGGTTTCAGCTCAAATATTAGAATCATTAGGGCCATATACAATATGAGTGCCTAGGTCCCACATCCAGATACTTGGCTTTGGTTGGTCTTGGGTGGAGTTCAGGCACTGGCATGTTTTAAAAGCTACCCAAAGGATTCTAATATGTTACCAGGATGAGATGATGCTCTAGATTCTATCAAATGATCAACACTAATAACTCTCGTGCCTCAGCTGCTTGAGGATAAAGTATATCTGCACTTTTATATATATATATATATATATATATACATACACACACACACACACACGTACATATGTATTTAGATATCTATATGTATATATATAATCACATAACTACTGCCATATATCAGTAGTAGTCTATGTGCGAAGCCTCTTCATGTTGCCCTCTTCATTATCAAACCGAGAAGGTAATTCACGACCTTTCTGGAGATGCGGTTACCAAATGTTTTGTGATTTTTAACCTGACTGTCACTGCTTCTTCAAATATCAAACGAAACACACACACCATCATTCTCATTTATTCTCTCATCCTTTCTTTTGAGCTCTTAAAACTGCTATGTGACATACAAATTTAAATTATTTCCAAAAAGTGCTAAAGGATTTAATAAAGATACTTAAGACTGATTGCAATACCTTGGGGACTGACTAAACCTGAATTGGAGACAATGGTTTTACCCTTTCATAACATTTAGTATTATGTGGTGGATATAAGAGATAATGGATTAAAAAAATATATTTCAAAGTATTACTCTTTGAATAACAGATGAAAACTTGTAGGGTTTTTTTTAATTATGAAATTTAGAATGACTTCTTTGGAAATGTTATTTCTTTAGAAAAAAATAAAAGAGGCGGACTGCTATTTATGATGGATCTGAATGCTCATAAACCTTTATGAAAGATGGATGGAAGGAAGGAAGGAAGGAAAAAAAATATAGGAGGTTAAAGTCTGACAAACCACTGATCTTTAAAGCTTGTGATAAGGTATGGGATCACTGCTAATCCATTACAATTTTATATCCTTTTATGCAAACAAGTGACTGATCTTGGCACACACAGTGGCAGAAAAAGACAGAGTAATAAGGGCAGCACAAAGTATGTGGGGCAAGATACATTTTAAACTATTTAATAGGCAAAAATATTCTGGCTTATACCAATCAAAGGCCAACAGAATTCATTGCACAACTTCACCAACAATAACCAGTATAAATTAAGGCAATACTTCAGTGTATTCAAGACTAAAAACAGATAACAAAATCTTCTTGTTTTCTTTTTAATGGAATTTGAGAACAAAATTTGTTGATCTCAAACAAAGACAATACTCACATTTCAAGTGGTTTTTAATTAAGTGCTTAAAATAAGATGATTTAACTTAATATTCAGGAGTTGTATTTCATATACCTCTGATCAAAATAATCCTGAAATTTCTCCATCTCAATAATGATAATAATGACAACAAGCCTTTTTAAATGAACTTTGTCACAAGAAGGTAAACAGGAAGCACCTCTCTCCAGCTGTCCTCACCTGTTGCAGAATTGCTCCCAGGGAGTTCTTGTCTTTTTGATTGACACCATCTTTCTGGAGTCTAGCAAGTAGCTCCGGTTTCTTGTAGGCCTTCAGGGCCAGTAAGTGAATCACCCTGTCCCTATATGGCCTCTGAGAGACACTGCTGCTGCTGTGTGCCTTTCGAATTGTATTTGCAGGGTTCATGGGGGTTGACCTTTTCCTCTCAGGAACTGTATCTGAAACAGCTTGAGGTGCTTTCCGAATTTGCACTCTTTTCCCTAAAGTCCAGTGGAAATGACATTGTTACACATTTGTGGGTTACAATATGAGCATCTCAGTTTCCATAATTCTGATTTAGTTACCTCTTCATTTCTAGAGGAAACAATAATAATAAAGGCCACTTTATTTCAATCTTTACTTTAAGAAGGCATGTAAACAGAAAGCATTTTAAATGTCTAAAATTTGAATTAGAAATTATTTTAATAAAATTATTTCTTGGAAATATGAATTATACATGTATTTTGGTCATTTCGCTACACAAAGATAAGAACTATTGACATAAACTGTAACAACAGACTTGATAACTTATACCTTAAATAAATATATGCCATTTCTGAAAAGCAACCTATAATACAGTAATCGTGATGAAATATAAGAAATACCTGTCAGATCTCTCTAAGAAGACAGTCTTGGCTGAGCTTGGGCATAACCTTAGTAATTTCATAGGTTCAAAAGCCACAAGGGGGATGGAGGTTAAAATCATGAGGCATCCACTAGTGATAATCTTTTTTTTTTTTTTAATCTTTAAACAGGCCATGACAAATTTTAGGACTCATAAAAGAAAACTAACCAACCAACCAACCAATCTCAGAGGGCACAAACAAATCTATCTTCTGCAGTGCTGAGACTATACATGTGAGTTATAGAAATGGAAAATGGTACAAAGGAGGCCTTCACACCATTCTTGCATGGGCCAGTGCTGTTCATGTGGTTAACCCATCTGCTGTTTAGACTAAACACTGCCACTGGGCAAGTTGCTACTTCTAGAACATGTGTGGGCTGAGGGGAATGGGGTATTGTGTGTATGTGTGAAGCTATCCAGACATGCCTGGTCACTGACAATTCCAGTAACCATTCCTTGCTGAAGGGACAAAAAGTAGCATGAAACTGTATGAGACTCTCATTATTATGATTTTACAGGTAGTCTTTTAGCTTGTTTAGGACACACTAAGCCCCAACTCTACACCCTCTGGTTAAAGAAGGGGAAAAACTCGTAATAACATACAATGTGGACAACTGCATTAGGAACAAAATAACAACTAGGAGCTTTACTAAACAGTAATTCTGTCCATGCTGGGCTCCCCCAGTCTGGCCAGAGGGCCTATGTGTTTTGACTCCATCCTACCTCGAGTAAGGGAAAAAAGATGAATGCTCTCAAACTGAAACCTCTACTGGCTGGTACGTTTCTTTACTATCTGTACAAAACCAATTGCAAAAATCAAACTACTACACAACAAAGGAACTCAGCATTAAGGGGACACTACCTAATGACAAGAAAAACTATTAAGTTATAATTAGAGTTGTAGAGATAGATTTAGATTGGGTTTCTGTATTTTTCTTAAATTAGAGACAACTGGATCAATGTCAGGTGGGAAAAAAACTAATACACTAATTATGTGGGGACACTGTGCCTAAAGTTGCATACATGTTATCTCATTAGTTCTCACAATAACATGAAAAGACAGGCATTGTCCCCATTTCACAGATGAGAAAATTGAGGCTTTTAGTGGGATATGCTCAAAGGGTAAACTGTTCACTTAGCATTTGGGAGGTTCTGTGATTTAATACCTAATTTTCCTGCCTGTAAGTCTTTGCAGAAAAGGTTTTATGAACAAATGCCTAATGTTTACTGTTGCTTTGTGTTAGGCTATAACTTCCATGAGGGCAGGGCAGTGGGTGCTTGGTCAGTATTCAATGACTAAGTGAATGACAGCAAGAGAACAAGTAAGCAGAGGAGCAGGAATCAACACAGTACATATTTCCCCACATTGCCAGGCTGCCAGAGTGTTAACACACATTGAAATTTAAAATGCAAACCTTTTAACCCACCATTTACCAGTTGCAACAGTGTTAACAAATATTAGTGTTCCTTGAAATTTTAATAGAAAAAAATTTTTTTAAAATAGAGGCAAGGTCACAAGTTGAAAAAATGCTGTAAGTTCCACACTCCCTCCCTCTTAACAAGTCTTAACAAAAAGAAATAATTTTAACTCTTTTCTAAACCAAGCTAACTAGGGAGCCCTTCTGTCTCTCTAGGAAGGGAGATGGGCAGAGAATGTTTGTTAGCTAAGCTACAAACACTAGGACTGGTCATTTAGGATGATTTCAAGCTGGCAAGGCAAATAAAAATAAAAAGAGAAAGTGACAGTACTGCCACTGTGTTTCAGGTGCCCTACCTCCTCAGTACCTCTGATTCACCTCCGATCCTCGTCTTAGGAGGTCTCCAAGGTCTCTTGGGTTTATCTCCATGCTTCTCAAAAGCACGTACGGAGGAGACAAATAAAGGACACTAATTTTGCCCTTAAAAGGGATGTTCATATGATGTTTGGCAAGAAATTAAAAGTCTGACCAGGAGAAGACAGAACTGGAGTCTTACTTGGGGCCCAGTGCTAGATTGTCACCTCTCCATGAATCCCCTACCCACCAAACAACTCACTTTGCCCTTTACCTCATTTTTCTTTTAGACAGCCAGTTATGGGGTAACACACATCTCATTCAAATGCTTCAAAGAACAATTTAGCTACTCTGGACACTGAATTGTACTCAAAATTATCACTTGTTTGCTACCTCCCCATCCTATCCCGTTTGTGCCTGTTCAACAAAGAAGGAGTCCTCTGGTTTAAGGAAAGAGGCTACAGATGAAGAAAACATAAGCGATAAAGGTATTTACAGAATTGAGATGCTAACAGAAAAAGTAAAGCTATAAAATGTCAGGTTTAAAGTGGGCAGAAGAAAGGATTTATTTTTTATATTTGCCTCAGAAAAAGCCATTTTAATAAAACCTGAGGGAGAACCTAATTCTCTCCCCAGACCCAACTGCTAATCAATTCCCTGGGCTCTTTATATAAACAGCATCAGTGGTTCCGATAGGGTTGGGTAGTCTGGGACTACAACTAAATCGTTATTTCATAACAACGAGTCCAAATCTAGATTCTCTATTTAATATGAGATGGTGAAAGTATTTATCCCTGTCTAACGGCTCTGAGTAAACAATCTGAAAGGAAGGTGTTAACATCCATCACAGAGAGAGAAGGTACTGTAGTCATTTTCTGCTGTTGTTTTTCCATTCTGTGGAACCTGATCAGAAGCCTGGGCAACACAGACTCAGGCTTTAAAAACATCTGCAGACTCATGACAATGACATGATCTGTCATGGTTAAATACATAATCCACTGCAAGGGAAATCTCTACCACTTGGCATTTGTGACTACTTTTTCAAAAAGTTTACTACCAAAATATATATACTGAACATTCACAAAATGTTAGTACTGTAAAGGACCTTAGATGTTGTCTAGTTCAATACCCCCCTTTTTTCTAATATTTGAGAAAAGCAAGATGTTAAATGATTTGTCTGGCATCAAAAATAAGGAGGTTTGTTCACAAAGAGTAGAAAATAAAACTATAATAAGGAGGGTGGTCTGGAAGGTGGAAAAATTGGAAACAGAATCCTAAAAATTAGACTGGTTATTTTATATAACTAAATAAATATTACTACATATAAAAATACATAATTTAGTAAATATCCATAATTTAGGTACAAGTCAGTGAGCAGACTTAAAATATCAGTGAACTAGAAGCAGTGGTAATTAGTGATTTTTTTTAAACAAAGGAGAGGGATTATAATAATACAATATTGTTTACCACTGATATAAATGTCATGACTAGATATAAAAATATTACTTAAGATAATAATGTTTTCTAGGTTAAAGCCTTTCCTGCTCCTCTCTAGGCAAATAGGTTTTGGTTTCTTCTGCCCCCAAGAGGGTTGCAGAAACTCACATTCCTGGGTGATTAGGCCAGGCGACCCCTAGGAACACAGTCTTCACTGCCTCAAACTGGGCTTCTGCCCTAGTCTAGGTGTTAGCTGGCATCACGGTACCACCATGCCACAGTGGGATCAGCATTTTTCTCACTGGTTCTCCACCCAGGCTGACAGTGTTGAAAACAACCTTGTCCTGCAGTTACCTCTAACCTGGCATAGGTGAACTTTTGGTGTCACTTTATGTGATATAGTCAATTATGAATTAAAGGGGTATATCTTATTATCTTAAAAAAAGCACAGAACTTGTTAATACGGTCATACTCATACAATTTGCTATTTGCTGATACTAACAATTTGGCATATAAAATACAGAGAGAATCATAATATTCTTCATAGGGTGATTACGAGATTCCTTGTGCACAGCAAGAACTCAATAAATGTTGGGTTTTATTAGTATTGAAGGGTGATTGACATTTTAAAGAACTGAATGAGTCAGACACTTTTGAGACACTGAAAGAGGCAGGAAGAAACAAACTGAGCTGCCTGGAAGGAAAACAATATGTGGGAAAGGGCTGACAATGAATAAGGTTAAAAGAAAAAGATAAAAACATGACATAACAAAGTACAGTAAAAAAATTAAAATAGACAACAAAAAAGCCAATCAAGATACTTGAATCCATTGCTTCCCTGTATTCAGAATTGATCAGACTTTTAAGAGTAGTGTGCCTAGTTTTGAACTTTAAGGTAAAGAATTGGAGAGAGTCCAGAGGAGAGCAATAAAATAATTAAAGGGTTGGGATACAGGCCATATTAAGAAAAGATTAAAGGAGCCGGGATTATTTGACCTAGAGAATAAAAGGCTGAGGAGGTTAATGACAAGATTTATGACCAGAGAAGAACACTGTGCTGTGATGGTGAGTGGCTAGGACACTGAGGACAAAGCAAACAGGAAAAGGCCTACAGAGTGCCCAGATTGGCAGCGATCACTGCAGGGCTCTGCGGTGAAGAGAAGGGTATAGAGAGGGTGGTCAGCTCTTCTTAGCAGAGGGGAGGTATAATATGGTTCACATGTGAACTCTGATAACCTCAAATTTCTTGTGGTCACCTCCAAAATGTATGTAAATTATTTGTAGTACCTTTAAGAAACCTTGCGAGGTCTAAAATTCCCAGTACCTTTAGTAAGTATATGGACTGTGGGATTTGGGGTGTTGAAGTCTGTTGCATAAGCTATAAACAAACTGTACCTGACTCTTTGAAAACAAAAACACATGAGCACAGATGACACCCAAGGACCATTCAATGGAAAAGTGCAGGCATCATCACTGATTTTCTAGCTTTGGAATAAATCAAGGGGAGGTTTTTTTTTCAGCTAGTTATATCGGGAAGGGAAAACATTGTTTTGATGGTTTCAGTCTTCTATTCCTTTGTCAACACACCAATTTACCTCACTGTTTATAAAATGGTGGTACTGGGCAGAGTAAAACATTTTCCAAGCAATAGGGGCAGATCACTCATAGTTTGTACTTAAATGTAAGTGTGGTAGATCTTGTGTGTTTTAAAAACAATTTGAGATTTAGCCTACTAACACAGAGTTAATTATGTTACTTTTAAGGATAAAGGAGAAAGAAAGGAGGTTGGAAGTTGCTACCTCACTGAGCAGGAAAGAGAAGGTGAAAAATCTCATTGCTAGTAACTTACTGAGCAGGGAACTAAGCCCCATGAGTACAGGTATCTGGGGAGGGGAGAATTGTTGTTAAACCAAACTAAATGTATCTAAGCTAAGCACCAAGCCCCAGGAGAATTGGCTTTGTTCCAAAGAAGTACTGATTAAAGACACTAGCGGAGCTTCTCAAAGCTGAATGTACTGTAGCTGGATCAGCAATTGGAAAATACAGAAGTAGAATGAAGCCAAACCTTGGAAAGATGCTAGTTACGGGATTGGTTCTTCAAGAGACTTTTTGTGAGCATTTAAGTTTCTAAATTAATATGCTTTCATCATTTACTATAGAGTTACTTGTGTTATTAAATTGACCAAGGACTCAAAGAGCTCATCCTCACTCTTAATAATTCTATTACTGTTAACAGTCACCATGAATTGACTCCTTAGAGTTGTTAGGATCACTGCTCATAAAGGAGAGACTCATCTTGCAAGTCTGGTCTTACCTCCCTTCAATCTGATAGACACTTGAGTGAGCTGATGATGGGGGTTGGGTAGGCTCTTAATTAAAGGATAGATGAGGATGAGGGTCACAGCTGAGGAACCAAAGAGACATCACTCTAATGCTCTGCTGTAATGCTTTGCTATAAGCACGTTTTATATTTTTGTAATGAAAAATCCTTGTTGTACAAAGATGCTCTGAAAATGTGTGCAAAACCTACAATAATGAGATTATCAACCAATAAATTCTAATAGATTTTACTATAAAAATAGCCCTACAAAAAGGCAAAACAAGAACCATAGTATCCATCATTGAAGTTACATCACCTAGTGACAAAGAAAACACAACGGTACCATGATTGCAACTTCACACAGTAATATGACCAAACCCCAGTACTATAAAATAATAGTAAGTAGCCAATGGAAGATTCAGGATGTAGGAAAGCATAAAACTTTAAAATATGCTCTTCAATTTACCAGCAGTGTGAAGAGAACAAATAACTTTGTTTTCCTCACCATGTTATCCAAAATGTTCTAAAAACTAGTTCCTGTGTTTTCATTAAGTTAATATTATTGGTATTTACCTACAGCGATCTTGAATTACTCCAATCAATCATCAAGAGGAAGAAAGGTATCTATACAAACCTACATATGGTCCACCGGGTTTGATAACTTTTGTGCTTCGGTTGCGGGATTCCTCCTCTGCCTGGGTCATTCTTTCTCGTGTCATCTGATACGAGTCGTTTGTTGCACACACTGTAATTTTATCTTGTATAAATCCCAGGCAATTGAGCTGGGAGGCTCCAGAGCTGTCAAGTAAGTCAGTGGCTTTGTTAGAGATGACCCTTATTTTGTAGATAGAATAAAGGCAAACAAGAATTATATAATCCTAAAATCAGCAGCCCAAATAAATTTGCAATCCTAAAACAACTAATATTAATTTTTAAATGCAAATGTTATTTAAAATATTTAAGCTCTTCTTTTTCATATCACCTTTTTTATATAATGGATGAAATGAGCTTTCAGAGACCAAATCCATAAAATTTTGAAAAAGAAAAAAAAAATCACTATTTGGAAAGACACCAGAGTTCCAATGGGCATTGTAGTTCTTTTATTTAACTGTCAACTATTTTAAAGGATTATCTAACACTGATATGAGAAAAGTTTAAAAAGTTTACTTTTAGTGAAATCACAGTATACACGCTTTGGACTGACTAGGTGAAATGGACTCTACACATTCTTTTTTATTCTTAATAAGGTATTTTAAGGCTAAAATATTGACACACATTAAATAATTTATTTTACTTTAGTAATAGGCCAAAAAGTTGCTAAAAATCACAAAATTCGTATTTACTTTGTTAAATCTCTATATAAGATGACCTATTTATAGCAAATGTTGAAGAAAACACAGGGCAAATAATTTCTGTAGTAATTTTTTTAAGGCTGGACATGGTGGCTCATGCCTGTAATCCCAATACTTTGGGAGGCCATGGCAGGTGAATTGCTTGAGTTCAGGAGTTTGAGACCAGCCTGGGAAACATGGAGAAACACTGTCTCTACAAAAATACAAAAATTAGCTGGGCATGGTGGTGTGTGCCTGAAGTTACAGTTATTCAGGAGACTGAAGTGGGAGGGTCTTTTGAGCCCAGACGGTGAAGGTTGCAGTGAACTGAGATGGTGCCACTGCACTCCAGCCTGGGCAACAGAATGAGACCTATCTAAAAAAAAAAAGAAAGAAAGAAATAAATAAAAAAGAAAATTTTATTGAAATAATCTTGAATATTAACATGGACCTAGAAGATGGCTCTGTTTCAAAGTAACATGATAATATTAGGGGGATCATGGTCATGGTCGTAGTCATAACTGGTATTTGACAAAGAAATTGCTATGGCCTGAAAGCAAAGTGGAATATAAAAGTAATGAAAGTGACACTATAGCTCTGATCATCTATTTCCAAACTTAATTAGAAGTAACTGTTATAATACAAAAAAATAAGGGTAGATTTTATAAATTGCTAATAACTGTCTTTATAAATGCTATTAAACAAAACAAAACAGTTAATCTCATAAACATTTCTTGAGCAGGGACGGCATGCCTAGCAATGTGTGAGGCAAGAGGCTGTGACAAGAACTAAGACAGTTGTAGTCTCTCCAAGGAGCTGTCTAATGGGTGACAAGGATGGCAAACTGGAAATCACAACACAGTGTGACAAATGCCAGGGCGCAGAGGACTCCCAGAAAGGTAATCTCACCTGGACTTCCTTGAGGAAGTGATGCCTGAGGTGATCTAGAAAGATGACTGGGCAAGGGAGAAGAAGAATAAAAGCATCTGGGAGGATAACTAACCTGTGCAGGCTCAGGAAGAGCACAAAGGTTTCCAAATTGTCCAAAGAAAGTTGGGAAGGACAGTTAGAGCTGAGGCTGAAGAGGGAATGAGAAATACACCACACAGGGCTCTGAGGGTCATGTTACGTGTTCTGTAACCAAAGGATAACAAGAGGCTGAAATCAGGGTAGAGAAAATAACTCATTTGTATTGTAGAAAGCTCAATCTGGATGGAGGATAGATTGAAAGGAAGAAGGACACCAGAAGGAAAGTAGAGACCAGTTGCGATGCTACTGAAGGATACTAGGCAAGAAGTGATGGCGTGAACCAGAGTAGGGCAGTGAGGATGTAGAATAGTACATAGATTCTAGAGATAGTAAGGAGGTGGAACTGACAAAACTTGACCAGTAGTTAGCCATAGTAGGAGAGAGGTGGGGGAAAGAAGTTAAAGATCATGCCCAGGTTACAAGGTATATGGAGCTGACACTTACTGAGACACTGAACACAAGATGAAGGGCAGGTTGGGAGATAGGACTGGGACAAAGAAAATAAGTTGTGTTGGAGATGGTGACTTTGAAGGAATAAGGAGAGAAGGGGTCCCAGGAGGGAACCAACTGAGAAGAACACCAGTATTTAAACAAAAGGAAGAAAAGAAGACCACATGAGACTCAAAAGCCACAGCTATGGAGGCAGGAAGGAAACCAGAAGAGTACTGTGTAATGTAAGCCACTGAACAGGTGGTTAACAGTGCAAGACTGGTAACAAGTCCAGAATCATAAGGAACCAATAATGCATCCACTGGATTTCGGGGGCAGGGAGATCACAGCTCGCTTGGGGAAGCAGTTTCAGTGGAATGGTGGGCACTGAAACCAGACTTTGGGTTGAGAAGTGAGTGTAAGAGAGGTTGTTTCTGTTTTCTCTTTTCTTTTTTAAATAAGATAGAATTGAGCATGTTTGCATGCCAAAAGAAAAAAAAAAACACTGAGAGAGACATGCTGAGAGAGAGGAATGTAATCCTCAGAGGAAGTGGGAGAGACGGGGGAAGAGTAGGAGAAAACTGACTGCAACAGAGTTAAGGTCTGGTGGCAGAAAGTTTGTATTTCAACACCTCTTCCTATTTTTTATTTTGTTTTATTTTTTAAGGTGGAATCTCATTCTTTGTTGTCCAGGCTGCAGTGCAGTGGCGCAACCTCAGCTCACTGCAATTTCCACCTCGTGGGTTCAAGTGATTCTTCTGTCTCAGCCTCCCCAGTAGCTGAGAGTACAAGCACCTGCCACAACGCCAGGCTAATTTTTTATTTTTAGTAGAGACGGGGTTTCACCATGCTGGCCAGTCTGGTCTTCAATTCCTGACCTTCGGTGATCTGCTGCCTTGGCCTCCCAGAGTGGTGGGATTTATAGGTGTGAGCCACCGCACCTGGCCTCTTATTATTTACTATTTACTAAGTAATTTACATAGTGAGAATAAGCTGAATGTAGTGCCACTCATGCAAAGTCAAGAAACAGATCTTTACACAAAACAAAATGGAGCTGAACTCTGTAGGCAAGAAGGTACTCTCTAGAATTCTTCACTCGTCCCTTCTGAACTGACTTACCTGAAAGTTTTAAATATTTTGGACAAATGTATATAAATGTTCCTTTAGTCTTGCTCTAGCCTAGCTCACCATTTCCTATGCTTAAATGTGCATTATTATACGCTATAGGCCCCAGACTAGATATTTTTCACTAAGCCTGAGAATGGGTAGATTTAAGGAACTTTTGAAAGGCAATTTTGACTACGAGATTGATTTCATTTTATATATGGGAAAAGTGAGAATCAAGGAAGTTTAAAAATATAGATAAGACTAGGTAATTTGTGTTGCTGAACATTTATTTACTGAGCATCTGTTTTTTCCCGCTTTCTCTCCAAGTTGAGTCAATGAGCATGTATTTTAAGCTCAGTCAGCACTCTGAAATTAGAAAAAGAGCATAAGAAAGTCTCTGCCCTTGAAGAGCATGCACTGTGGTCAGAGAGACAAGATCCGTAAGGAAAATGGAAATTAAATTGAATAGAAAAGGTGGAGCCATATTATGAACAGGTCAGCTTGCCAGGCTAAGTGAAAGCCTGAGAACAAAAGCCAGTGCTTTTGTCTTCCTAGTGGCAAACTTAAATTTATACCCTTACCACCTTATTGTAGAAAACACCTTGGATTATACAGAGGGAATACATTTGCCCCAATATTCTCACAATAAATGTTTCTGTTCTCCTGCTGCATCATATATAGTTTTGTAAGTGACCTTAAATCCTTTTCTAAACAAGGAAGGCAGAAATAATCACACAGGGTATTTATAACGTAAGGGTAAAACCATATTACTTAAGATGGTATGAATGGTTTTGAAGAGAGGATTAAGCTCTTTAATAAAATTCCTAAGGGGACATTGTTCAATTTGATATAAAAATGTGCTCACTATAATAAAACAAAGCACCATAATTAAAAATTAAGTGTACCATGTAGTGTGTAAAGAATACTGGGGTGGGGGTTAGAAGAACTCAGTGCTCATTTAGCCGAGCCACTAACTAACCAGCTATGTAACTCTGGATAAGTCACCTGTGAAATGAAGGGATTGACTCACACAATCACTAAGGATTCTATAATCTATCATCGTGCTGATCAACAGAACTTTTTGCAAGAGTGAAAATGCTGTATAACTGTGCTGTCCACTATGATAGTCACATGTAGCTACGGCGACCATAAAATGTGGTTAGTGTAAATGTGCAATGACATTTTAAATTTTATTTAATTTTTTTTTATCAGTTGAAGTGTAAATAGTCAGTGTGGCCAGTGGCCATCCCAGTGGACAGCATAGAAAAGTCTATATAATCTATAATATAAAAATTTATGCCCAAACATTTAAGTCTGAAGGTAGGTAATTTTCAGGAAGCAAAATTAATATATACTCGAGGAAAATGACAGATTAAATAACAAAAAGTTACTTAGTCACCTTAAATGGGAAGATAAATTTAAAACTCTTTCAGTGGCTTATTTTGTATCTCTGCCTCCTGTACCTGCCTGAAACATTGCTTTCCTTCTTCTTTTTCCCCACATTGAACAAGTACTTACACAGTTTCAAGTACTGCATTGATAAGTCATAGAGATATACTGGTATTAGGTACTTGGGGCTAATGTCAAAGCCTAACATGCTGAGGAAATGGGACCCTAACCTCCTTTGTCTCTATCCAGGAGTAGAACAAACTCTTCCTGCTCAAGGGCCTATTCTTTAATTAGAAACAACCAAAGCAATGAAGAGTGAAACAAGTGGCTTATTGTTTACCGAGGATCTAAGTAGATAAGCGTTCCATGGTACCCCTGGGTGTGGGTATATATTCTTGTCTTCCTCCCTCCTTTTTTTTTTTTTTAATTAGAAGAAGAAGAGACTGCTTTACTGGAGTTAATGTCTAGTTTCCATGCAGCTGTAGAATAAAGATGTTTAAAAATCTACCTTCTACCTTAAAACACGACTTGAACAGGGAAGAAGGAAGAGGGCATGCAAGATGTATATTTTTAACTTCTTTACCCTTGAGTGTGAGCCTCAAGTATGCTATATGATTCTTGCTTCAATTCAATGAATTAAATCTTCTAAAAAAATCCTCAAATTGTCTTTAATTTTTTAAAACTGCATATTTTATAAGTAAAATATTATCTTCTTTACCTTAAAAGCCCCATGAGACAAAAAAATCTTAGAACTGTTATGACTGTATCCCCATGACAAATAATATTTCTATTACATAGTAGGTGCTTAATATTTTTCAGATAGGCCGGGCGCGGTGGCTCAAGCCTGTAATCCCAGCACTTTGGGAGGCCGAGACGGGTGGATCACGAGGTCAACAGATCGAGACCATCCTGGTCAACATGGTGAAACCCCGTCTCTACTAAAAATTACAAAAAATTAGCCGGGCACGGTGGTGCGTGCCTGTAATCCCAGCTACTCAGGAGGCTGAGGCAGGAGAATTGCCTGAACCCAGGAGGCGGAGGTTGCGGTGAGCCAAGATCGCGCCATTGCACTCCAGCCTGGGTAACAAGAGCGAAACTCCATCTCAAAAAAAAAAAAAAAAAAAATATTTTTCAGATAAATAAATAGCTCTGTAATTCAATTTAATACATATTTGTGGATGACTCTTATGTATTTTATTGTTTAATTTTCTAAAGTCCTCTTAAATAAAAATTTTTCCCCCTTTGGTATACCTTGAAAAGTACTTACCTGGAGAATGTTTGCTGGATGCAGTCAAAGCTGCCCTGAGGGTTGTCTTTGCCCACATTTGACAAATAAAAGTTAAAGTTATGAACTTCATTGAGGGGATCATTTTTGGGAATTTTGACAAGCTAAAATGGGGGGAAAAAGAGAGAAATGCCTCAAATTATAAATTTGCCATAGAAAAGTCTTATAACTGAATTATTGGTTTTTCTAGTGAAAATTATTTCTAAGCCCTTTTGATACGTCCTCACAGCATTTAAATGACCAAACAATTCAAGGAATCTGGCAAACATGCCTATAACTCATCACATTCTTATTTTCATTTTCTACCTTTAAGTGTCGGTAATCACTTCTGCTCAATAGTTTCTATTAGTTTATAAGAGGAACCCTTTTCATTTCAAAGTAGCAAATGGTTATAGTTCATATGAAAGAGTTATTAGTGAATTTGTAAAAAGCTCTTCCTCTTTTGAGCTATACAAGCTTTGTCTTTGGCTTATATGACCCCCTGCTAAGTAGCTTCTATATATTGAAGCAATCTCTGAGACAGAGTTCATATCCGAATCTTTGGCTCTCTTCATAAAAAAACACATTTCGTTTTAATTCTTGCTTCTTGGAGTACTATATTTGAACAAGAGTAACAGCATAAGGTTAATGCCATAATTACATTCACAGGTAAAAACTGCTACCCTAAGATTCCAGTATTCATCCTCATGTTTACAGAAACAGGGTCTGCAGCCTACAGAGATGATTCTGAAGGTCACTCCCAGGCTGATACCCAGGCAACACTGTGATGTATTTTCTACACTCTTGTTCAAGGTCTGACTTCCCTATTAGATGGGAAGTCCCAGGAGCAAAGGGACAGAGTTATTAAAGACCACTGAGGTCTTGCATCGGCCACATTTCCTGATACATAACAGGAGCTCAAGAAAGGTGTGTACAATTGGAATCTTCTGTTTTTCAACTGCTCCACTCTTTCTAGTGTCTGAAGCCTTTCCTCCCTTGGGTCTGCATGGTGTTAGGTGATAATCAAGAAAAAGGATTAGTTGGCAAGAATGTAAAATATGACTTACCAAACTTCAGCTCCCAAACACACAGTCTTAGTAATTTAGCAGACAAGCAGGGAAGGGAAAAATGTTTTATAACCCTCATTCTCCAAAAAATCTGTCCTTCCCATTATAAGACGACCCAGCGCTAACTCGCTGCTTAGTGTGTGGGTGTAATGTGTACACACATTCATGAATGTGCAAGTGAGTACAAGCATGTATGATCCCTACCCTTGCTCTGCCCTGCAAGACACCCTGTAATCTCTGACTTACTCAATCTAAAAGTCTCCCAAACCTTGACCTACAGGAAAGAATTGCAGCCACCAATTCCTGCCTTCCTTCCCTTCCTCTCAACCATGGAAAAGAGTTAAAAAAAAAAAAAAGAAGGTAAGAAGGAAGACAAATTATAGTATCTGGCACATAGTAGACATATAATAAATATTTGTTGAAGGAATAAATGAATAAGAAGAAATAAGTCAAAGAAAAATGTCTTTTCAAAGGAGATTCAGCCGGCTTGTGTAGAACTTTAAGAGGTCAAATTTCACCAAAGATACTATAGGTTAGATAATACTCCATAGAGCCTCCGCCATCCATGAATTTAAACTATCTTTGACTCCCTATATTAAATTAGATCCAACTCCTGGCACAAGTTTCTGTGTTTTTATCTATTCTACAATGTCTTTTGAGGGCCCTAACATTATTCTTCAATTCCCAAAACTTGCCCCAGTTCTAAAGTACTGTAACTTTGTGAACCTGTCTTAATTTACTCTGTAGATAGGTACTCATCAGGCTGTCTTATTGTGTTTACACTCAGCACCTAGTCGGCACACACATATTGGTAACTTCTTAATCCCATGGCAGTAGAGGCAAGCACGAGCCAAAGGAATGCTTGCATCAGGCACAAGAGAACATAAGTCTAACTGCATACTGGTGTAACAGTACTCAATAATGTCTGCTTTTGTTTTTCTGGGAAGAGCAGGGTTCTGCTGACAGAGAGGGATATGCAATATGGAGGAGGTAGACAGGTAAGAAAGGTGTGGACAACTGAATGAAATCCCCTCCATAGGCATGACTCATTTAACTTCCAAGCATCTTCTCCCCTAACCCTTCATCTAGATCTGCGGAACCTGGTTAGAGAAATTTTTAAAGTAATCTCTTCTCCATGTGATATCTAATCTTCCTATGAGCCTCCAGCTTTCGTTTTAGATCTAAAGTTTTCCCTACTTGCATAGCTCAGGTTTGGGAATACAGCAGTACTTCTATACCCATCAGAGAATGGAAGACTATCCCATTTGGGAGATTCTAAATTGCATTTTTAAAAGGTGGAATTGTACAGTTTTTTCCCCTTATTTTTCAGGAATGATTAGAGTCTGTACTGAAATTCTGCAAATGTGCAATATTCTTTTAGTGAAAACTTGTAACTTATAGTCTGGAGTCCTTTAGTTCAAATGTCCCTTAAACAGAGGGTTACAGAAAGCTCTTAACAAATCTTTGTTACTTAAATGTAGCTTTTTCCTTTTTTATCTTCCAAATCACCCAATCCTAACTTCTTAAGTAACATTTATGCTTTTTAAGGTAAAATAATTATCCTTCTATGCATTTTTTCTCTTAAAGCGTAATAGTCTGGCCTGATGAGGGACACAGAAGACTTTCATATTCTTGTTTTTTAAAAAAGTCTCTTCAGTAGAAAAAAAGCTACAGATTTTAAAAATATAATAATGACCAGAATAGAAAGAATCAGCTTAAAGAGAAACAAAGTTTTTAAAAAATCATAATCCATCCTAAAATCATAATCCATCCTATGTACTCACCAAAGTGTTTTGAAACTTGTGGTACACATAGATTAACAATGGTTCTTAACAAGGGGCGATTTTGTCCCCCAGATGACATTTGGTCTGGGAGGGTGCTAATGGAATGCAGTGGGAGGCCAGAGATAGTGCCAAACTCCCTACAGTGCACAGGACATCCCCTCCAATTACACAGTACAAAACAGCAGAAGGGCCAAGGCTGAGAAACTTTGGATTAGAAATAGAAATAGGTCAATCCCTTAGAAAAGAAGTCAGAGGCTGGGTGTGATAACTCACACCTGTTATCCCAGCTCTTTGGGAGGCTGAGGTGGGAGGATAACTTGAGCCTGGGAGTTTGAGACCAGCTTGGGCAACACAGTGAGACCCCATCTCTATAAAAATAAAAAAGTGAAAAAGAAAAGAAAAAATAAAAGTCAGAATTCTGACTTCGTTGGTTTCTGAAAGTCAATAATAAGTGGAGAAAAATGGCATCTTTAAAGAAATATAAATACCCATTTTATTTGAAATGAAAGCAGCCTATTTTAACTTTACTTATTCCAGTTTTATAACTCCCAATCAGGAGAAACTGAAAAGCAAAGATAAGCAGCACACATGGGCCATATTTAAAGAATATTTAGCTATAGAGAGAATGTGAAGATTAAGTTCCTACTGCAAATAAACGTCTGCAAATTCTTCTAAGTATCACAAGTCCAGCAAATAAACAAATGGCTTAATGGGCATTATTTAAAAATATTTTTATTGGAATACCTACTTTGGTTATCATTATTGTTAAAAGAAGGTCTTAAACCTCTGAAAATAACAAGTAGAAAAAGCTAGTATAGTTTTCAGCTTAGAAAAAATACAGAGTAACTTATCTGCAGAGTGCTTTTAATCCCTACCATTTTTCCTTGTTCTTACTATATGCCACACACACTGATAAGATTCTCAGGCTGCTAAAGATCAGTAACAAACTACTCTGTCCTCACCTCTGATAGCAGAACTTCTCAACAATCTCTCTGACCCACTTGTAATACTATGAGTGTATTTGAGCGGTATGCAGATAGGGCAGAGGCAGGCATCAGGGCAAATAGTGTTCACTTTGGGACCAACCCATGACTCCTGATGCATGTTATGGGTTTTTTTTTCCAGTTGTGGAGTTGAAGTGGAGCTTAGAGGTTAGAGATAAAGGTACATGGAGCCCAGGCCAATCAGAGTTCTACATTACCTTTCCTTGGTGGTTTCAGAGCAATAGCAATGCAGATGGTATGGTCTGAGATAATCTCAAGCTTTTCAAGAGCAAGATGTTTTCAGGTAAATTTTATATCCTTAAAATTTTAAACGGGTCCATAGATTTAATGCATCTAATTTCTTGAAAATGTATTAATTAGATACAAACTTAATGTATCAATATCCAAGTATACTTTTAAGAATGAAATGGGTATATAAGGTATAAGGTAGCACATATGTTTATAGTTGGTAAGGCCATGTAACAATTTGGCCACTGGACAGGAAAGCAGGAGACTTCATAGAAAGAGCAGGTGATATATGACAATTAGGGCAGGTTGGTGAGAGGGAAGCTTTAGAACTAATCTATGGCAACTTCAGAGTAGACCAGAACCTGTGAGACTGTTGAAGGCCAGAGCTGGGTTGGTTCTGAGACCTTTCTGATCTACAGCCATTCAGACAGCTAGAGTTTCAGAGGAACCTGTGGTTATGCATCACTCCTCTCTGATATACAGGAGCCTATTCCATAGTGTATCTAGACAGCTCTTTCTTCCAAAATGGTTATGAAGCACTTTCACAAAATCTAGCCTTCAGGTTCATGAAATATGAGGAGGAGGAAGTGAAAATGTACTGACTGTTATTGGTAAACCTAGGGTCAGTTTTTGAGGATTGAGGTAACCACCACAGGAAATAAGTTCTGAGGTCTGATTTTGAAACAATATTGGAAGACCATTCCTTTGGGAGACAGAAACTTCTCAATTTGAATTATACTATTTTATGCTTTTCCTACAGGTCAGTTAGGAATAACTTTTTATTTAGGGACTCATGATCTTGAATTTTTAGCTAAAGTCCTTAAGAATATTATTTTAAAAGTATTAAAAGGCTGTGATTTTGAACAGTTTCTTATTCAAGATGAAGAATATAAAAATATACTACCATGTTTCAGCAACTGGAAAAGCAGATTTTTTCATTCCAAAAATGAGAGACTGAAAATCAAAGGCTTAGGACCACAATCCACAACCCTCCTCCCAACCTCCTGTCTGAATTCGATAAAAAGCTACAAAGAAAAAGTTT